AGACTACTGAGAGGAGGAGGAGGAGGAGGAGAATCATATGAGCCGCCTTAAGTTCCTTGGAAGCAAAGACAGCAGGATTTAAGCATGGTAACGATGAAGGCCAGCGGGGTGCCACGCGACAGGCATCGAGAGGACCGACGTGCCCCTTTCCGCGACCAAATTAGCCCAGGAAAGCCTTGGGGCCGGGCTGCGTGGGAAGGCGGAGCTCAGCCCTGGCGTGCAGCCCGACGGAAGGCACCACACCAGCCCTCAGAAAGGCTCGAACGGCCCCAGCCCCTGGGGAAACGGCCCACCTCTGCCTGGACCACTCTGGCGGCCACCCCCTTCCCCTGGGCACCGACCCCCGGGCAAGGGTCCGAAACAAGGCGCAGCCCTCCCTTCGGCTACCTGGGAATTAGCGGGCAGCTCTGACCTTGTTCCCTCGGCCAGGAACGGCTGACACTGGCAGGTGCAGCAGCCCCGTCAAGGGGCATCACACCCGGCAGGTGTCAGAAAAAGCACAGAGGGAGCTGGGGGCCGCTGCGGCTGCGCTGTGGCTGCTGGGGGAGCCGGACGCGGGACTGGGCCCCTCGGCTGAGCCAGCACGGCGCTTCACAGGTCGCCAGTCCCGGCAGCAAGGCCCCATTTGTACAGAGAACGCGGTTAAGCATTTTGCCTTGCCCAGCCTGGGATTTTTGTGGGAAAGCTGCCTCTGCTGAAGGCACTGAGGGGGCCAGGTCTCAGGCGCTGGGCACTGCCGCTCAGCCACACCGCCCGCCCCTGTTTACAGGAAACCGGACCAGAAGGGCACAACGGCTGCATCCACGCCGGTGCTGAGGGAATCCCGGCCAAGCTCTGCTTCTGGGGAGCAATGCTTGACACATCCCGCCTCCAAAGGGCCTGGTTCTTTTCTGGGTTTGGGCTTCCCTGGAGTCCTCGGCGCATCCCTACAGCTCTTCTGTCGTTTCTCGCGCGATGGGTGAGTCACAGCAGGAGAACAAGGAAGGAGTGGTGGAGAGGCCCGGGAGGGCTCTGAGGCGAAGACCCGGCTGGCTGCTTGCCCTCCAGTGCCATCCCCGAGCCTGGCAAGAGAGCCAGGCAGCCCTCACCCACATCCTCCGCCCCGGCAGACGAAACCCCCTCTCAGAAGTCGCTGTTGCCTTTCGAGGGAAGTTGCTTGGAGGCCAAGAAAGGTGAAAAGCAAGTGAAGCGTCAGAGGGGACTTGCCCCTCTGACCACGGCAAGGAAAGCAAAAGCCCCATCTCGCCGCCTCCTGCGACGCAGAAAACCTTTATGCGAGAATCCAAGAGGAACCTGATAACACTCCAGAGCGTGCCACACTGATCATCAAAGGTGCCTGGAATGCAAAAGCAGGAAGCAAAGCAGAATCCAAAGAACATCACAAGATGGCCGACAGAAGACTCAAACAGACTGTGTAATTGGACAATTAGTTTTCTCACTGATAAAACAAGACCAGAAGCAGACTGTGGTGGTGACCATGAATGGGTCTTCTCAAAAATCAAAGTGGAGCTGGAAAAGGTCACGAACAGAAGCACGGTGCCAAAATACAACTGAAACAGCCAGGCCTGAGAAATTTAAAGACCACGTAAGGAACAGGTTTGCATTAATTAGCCATGAAGCAGAAGAACTGCAGCCTGGAACCAGAGAGATCATTAAGGAAAACACATTCACAATAAATCCAGCACTGGGAGCTGCAAGTCAAGAGAGCGAGCGAAGGCCCGAGGAAGGAAAGGGGCAAGCCCAGAGCTCTGCACTGGGCACCGGCTGGCAAGGGGCTTCCCCACAGAGACCCCCCCCCCACAGCCCGACATCCACGCTCTGCTTGCTGCACTCTCCAGCCATGTTTCTGTTGAGGGGATGTGGAAGGAAACTGGCAGGGTGGGTAGGGGAGGGCCATGGGGCAAAGCAGCATGGAGAACTAAGCCCTTAATCTTAACTAAACACATTACTGATGAGCTCATCAACAAAAATCTAATTATTATGTGCGAGGACAAGCTTAATTGCTTGTCCTTGACATGCATAATGTACCACATAAGCCTATTACCCAATGTAAGCCTATTATTATTATCATCCAGCTTCCTGTCAAATTTATAAAAGTAAAATAGTTCGACATTTTTGGGGGGGGGCGGGGAGTCAGGTTGCACAGTGCGCGGCCCAACTGCCCCCCGAGGCAGCCCGGCCCCCGAGCGCCTCAGCCGGAGTGCCTTGTCCCTGAGGAGAAGGAGCAAAGCCCCGGGCCTGTCGGCGCAACAGAGGTGGGCCGGGCGCCCCAGAGCACGCCCCTCCGGTCGGGCCACACAGACCCCGCCTGTGCACCACCCCTCGATCTGCTCCACAGGCCCCTGGGGCGGCCCTGGATCCACCGGGACACAGGCAGGAATCCCGCCCGGCCCCTTGCCCAGCTGCCGAGCGATTAAAGCAGGCTGATGGCCCCTCGTCCACGCCAGGTGTTGCTGCCCACGTGCCTCCCCCGGCCCATCGCGGCCGAGGGCAGAGCCACCAGGCCCCCGCGCAGCCCTTGTCGAGCGGAGCCCCGGCCCCTGCTCTGTGGAAGCACTCCGAGGCAGGAGCCCGCAGGGCCAGTCCGCAGCCTGCGCGCACGGGGCACCGGCTGCAGGCGCGGCCCAGCAAAAGACAAGCACGTGGGCCCCAGACCCGCGCAAGGCGCAGCTTGCAAGGCGGAGGCGCATCGCTCCCGCGGCACATCACGAGGGGCAAGGCCTCCCGGAGGACCGTTGTGCTGGGAAAGACGACAGCGGGAGGAGGAGGAGGAGGGGAAGGGCCAGCTCCACAGGGGAAGCCGCAGCCCGGAATGTAAGGGGTGCAGGCCTGCCAAGGACAGGACACTGTGGGGAGCTGCTGTTCCCGGGGCCGCTGCGCTCCGCAGCAGCGGCGGCAGGCGTGCCTGGCCAGGTCCGTGGGCAGAGACGGCCTCCCCTGCCCGTCTCCGGCTGCAGCCCACCTGTGGAACATCCTTCCCGGGGAGGCTTGCCTGGTGCCGGCCCTGCTCTCTTTGGCACCAGGCAAAAAGGTTTTTATTTTCCAGGTGTTATTGTAGCCAACTTGTTTTTAACACTGCTTTTATTTCTGACTTGTTTGCTTCGCTTCTATCTTTCTTTGCCATTAACTGCCAGATTTTAAACTGTTCTTGTTTCTGGTTGCATTTTTATTTGTTTTACTGAGCTATTGTTGATTTTATAGCATTTTATTGTGAACTGCCCAGAGAGCCTCAGGGCTACGAGCTGATAGAGATGTAATCAATCGCTATCTTTATTTATTTTTAGTTTAATTTCAGTCCTATCTTTCCATCCAGAGGAAAAAGGGTGTTCAGAGTAACTAGAACTAATATTCATATTAACAAAATCTGGACTAAACTAAATCACAAAACCAATTACATTAACACAAGAAGAAATAAAGAGCAATGGAAACCAAATGCTTCTACGCAACATCTAGCAAGCTCTTGGCATTACACTGAAGACACCACTAGTCCAGTGCAGGTGCCGTCACGTGTGAATGTCCAACCATACCTGGGCAGTAAAGGCCAAGCTTGCCTGGTCCCCTCCCCCTCAGCAGCGGTCCATCCCCGCTACCCCCCCACCCCACCCCACCACAGGGTCCCTCCTGTGCTCTTGCTCATCAAGCCGTAATTGATGCTGCTAACGAGACGCACAGTTTGCGGAGTGTCTGCACAGAATGCCACCCGCCCGCTGGTGCTCTGCAGACTTATCGCTACTCACAGGATGTTTACAATAATTTTTAATTTGTACAATTATTAATCATTTTCTATCTGCTTCATTTGCATAATGATTAGCCTGCTCAGTGTTTGCCATGACTGAGAATGACAGCACTTTAAATTAAATTAAGATTTTAATATCCTCTCCCCCCCACACACAACACTTCCCCATGGCTCAGGCCAGTGAGACGGGCTCCAAAGATGCCAGCTGCCCTCCCACAGATGCCACTCCGCCCGGCTGCCAAGGGGGCTAGCCTGCGGCACGCAGAACCATCAGTGCTCCCTAAGCTGGTGGCAACCCCGCTGCTGCAGCAGCTCTGCCCATGCGGCTTCGCCCGGAGCTGGCACGAGCCGGCAGCCCAGAGCCAAGGTCTCCTCAGAGGCAGGCGCCCCTCGTGCCGCACCCAGCTGTGGGGCCGCAGCCAGCTCGGGAAGGGGCCTCGCCTGGCCGAATGCAGCTCGCGGGGGAGGCACCGCCTGGGCATCCCTGGGTAGTGGGAGAGCCCGCCCCCTCCAGCCCCCGGACACAGCCCGGCTCTGCCCCGCTGCCGTTCCGCCAGGAGCCCTTGCTGGTGGGCTCGCCCAGCCTTGCTCCCCTCCCCTTTCTCAGCCCACCTGCCCGGGCACTGCAGAGGCCCCCCAGCATCAGCAATGCCATGCTGGAAGGGCAGGGCGTGTTCCGGTTCGGCCTGCACAGACCGGACCCCAGAGAATTGTTCTGTTGCCTCACTGGATGTGGTCTCTCCTTTTTTAAAAAACAGGACGATTCTGAAAGCCCAACCACAACAAGCAGGCCACACCTGCCCAAGAAAACTGATGAAGAAACAAGCAACTGCCGGCCAGAACCATCCCGAGCGAGAGCACACAGGATTTTGTGATGCTGGCAGGTGAACAGCCAAGCGGCACTCTGCCCAGACACGGAGAAGCATCCCGCACGGACACGGGCTCTGCCCCCTCCCCTGCAAGCTGCTCCACTCCTCTCTGCCACTTGCCGCAGCAACAGCTCATCCAACAGCAGAAGGCAGGAAAGGAGGCGGGTTTCCACATAACTAAGGTGCGCATGTGCTCAACGGAAAGCTCAGACTTCACAGACGCACAACTGAATGCGCTGGGTATCGAGGAGGAGGGGGGACTCACAAGCTTAAACGGGATCCACTTGGATACAACCATAGCAAAAAAGGCACTTCTATTCATACACGATAAAAATGGACTAAATTTCCTGACACAAACAAAGCAGCAAGGTATAGTTTAAAAAAACACACACACACAAGGTAAAAAAAGGTGTTATTTACAAACTGTACATTCAAATTACAAAGGATATCAGAGAATGCAGTTATGAACAGTCCCCCATTTGGGGGAAAAACACATTCTATGAAAAAAAGTATTTTAGTGGCGGCATTCCAGCCTTCTCCAACAGCAGACAATTTAGGGGGAAAGCAAGCGCTTTAAATTCAACCTATAAACTTCCCGACCAGCTTCCCGTTACCACTGGAAACAAGATGACTGTCAATTACCCTCAACAGGCACTGCCGGACTAGCTGAGCGTTCTGGCTGGCCCTTTCAGGAAAAGGCAACGGGGACGCCTTGCCTGGACAAGCCCCGCACCCCACCCCACCCCCAAGCCAGGGAATCCAAGGGTAAGTTGTGCTTCCGCAAGCCAGGACGCTCGGCGTCCTGGTGGCGCCCAACGTGTCCGGCAGCCGCAGCCGCAGCCACAGTCAAGCCTCCTACAACATGGCGCAGAAGGAAGGCTCTTCGTAACCTCGCCTGCCCTCTCCCCGCACTACCCGCAAAGCACCTGAAACTTGCAGCTCAGCTGCAGGTCAACGGGGCATCTTCCAGGGCTCTGAGAGATTAGCATCTAAGGGACCAGTTGGTTGCAGCTGTCCTGGGTTTCCATTCGGGCAGGTCCCCTTCTGGCAGTGCTGAGAGTCCCCACCCAGGGAGTGCTCCCTCGCTCCAGGCACCCCCTGTGCCTCCCCAGAGGCAGAAAGCTGCTTCTATTAACTTCGTAAAGCTCCTGAAAGGCTCCCTGTGAGGAAAACCCGCGCAGCGTGAGCTGCTGGGGCCCCTTGTAGCAGCTCTGAGACTGGGAGGAAGCTCTTGAGCATTTTAGCCTGGCCGCTTACATGTCCTCAACGCTCCACTTGTATGCCAGCTCCTGCACTGCCTTCTTACTCGCGATTCGGGCAAAGCGTTTCTGCTCAAAGCCATTGGACCTAGAGGAGCAAAGACAACAGCAGGGGAATCCATAAGGAACTCGGAGGGAAACACAGGGATCGGGGAGATCAACAGCATCCACCGTGCAACCTGCACCTTCACACTTCCAGGTCCAGTTCAGGACATTTATACCAGGGAGGAAGCTGCCACCACGTGGTGGTCTCTCCTGTGATCCTACAAGAGCCCGGCTGGCCGCCTCCAAGTTCCTCCTGGGGACAGCCAGAGGGCCACCCCGACACGGGTGAGAGGCTGGGGGCGAGAGCAAGGGCCACCCCAGAGAACCTGTGCAGGGAACAGGGTTGCTCTTGGGGGCGCAGACTGTGGACACCTACTGCTGTGGCTGCCAGAGCGCAAGACGTACCTGTCCACCCCATCCCAGCGATATCCAGGCCAGATGTTAAACCTGTTGAGCGGGGGCGCAGGTCCACTGTACTTGGGTCTGTCTGGAGCGGGTAGAGAAAGGAGCAGGTAAATAGCCTTGTCCGTGATCTGTCAATGTGGGCTGATCCAAAACACATTCAGAAGGCAGAGAGAAGATCAGAGTTCGCACCAACTGCCTTCAAACCTCACGATCTGTGGCGATGACCAAGCACAGACATCCCCGGTGCAACATGTGCAGAGCAGGGGCAAAGCGCAACAGCCACACAGCTGCTATTCCGTGAAATCGTACAAAAGCATTTGCAAGGACGCCAGCAGACGCTGCCCTCTCTTTTAAAGACAACCCTCCTTGGCCCTCGCCATCGCGGACATAAATTTTAATCTGAGGACCGACTGCACCTCAAGGGACGTGCAGGAGGGGCTCCCTTCACACACCCAGAGCCCCCAGCATCCTGCTCTGCACGGTGCGCTCCAACCCCTGAGTGGATCCTCCAGCATCATGACTGCAAAAGCAAGGCTGAGGGGTTCACCTGTCCCAAAGACCCCTCTGCTGCGTCCCCCTGGATCTGAGTGACACAAGCTGCTCGCGTACCAGCACCAGCCCCCCTCCCCTCCCCCCACCCGTTCCCACAGCAATCGCCAGTGCAGTGCTGACCTTTGGCATCTTTCCTCTCCTTGGCCTTCTTCTTCCTGAGGAAATCGGCCATGGGGTCGCCTTCCCGCTCCTGCTCCCGCAGCATCTTGTCCAAGTCCTGGTCATCGATGTACCGAGCCAACGGCTTCTGCATCTCTTTCACAGCATCCTCCACATTTTGTTGCTGCTGCCGGCTCTGCGCAAGGCTGCAGGGGATGGACACAGAAGCAGGGCAAAAGATGCTGGGTTGCCGTCCTCTTGCTTTCTGCCTGACAACTGCAAGACACCTTTCCAAAGGTTTGCAAAGAGGCAAGCGCCCTGTGCAGGCCAGTCAGCCATATAGTTCCTCTCCTACGGCAAAGACTGCAGCCAGGAACAAAGAACACGCTCCACATGCAGAAGCTGAACCTCTGGCTTCTCCCGCTAGGAGGGATCCGGAGACAAGCATGGGAAAGAGCACCCGCCTGCTGCCCCTCTGGCGGGCGGCTCCCCATCGGCGGGAAGCCAGCCCAGGTCGGCAGGCAGCCCGGCAGACCCGGCATTGCGAGGGAGCGCCCCTCCCGTACGTGCCTCCACAGGCCACGGGGGCACCCGCTGAGCTCCTTCCCAAGCCCCTCTGCAGGAAGCAAAGCGGGTGGCTGCCAGGGGAAGGGCGTTTTTGGCTGCGGCACCCCAATGGTGGAACCAGCCTCCCAAAGAGGTGCGCCTGGCACCTACTCATCATGCCTGTCGGTGCCAAGTTAAAACCTCATTTACCCTGTACTGCAACAGTTACATTTTTATCCTCATCTCTTACATTGCGTTTTATCTTATGCCGCTGTTACACCTCTGGACTGATCTGTTTACAGCTGCTGTGGACTTATGGCTGTCATTTTGCCTGAGGTGTTATTTCTGTTTAACTTGATATGTTATTATCTTATACCATTGATTATTGCTTTGTTTGTTGTGCATTTTAGTAATGCGAACCATTCAGAGGGCCTTTCTGGCTGAGGGACGGGATGGGATGGAACTTATGGCCACCCCTGCCCCTCACCGAACGCCTCAGAGAGTGCCTACCAGCAGCTCAGGCTTCCCTGGCCCGGCCCGGCTTACCCCTTCCCCCACTTGGCGTACTGCTCATCCCGCTCAGACTTCTCCTCTGCTTTCTTCTGCTGCTCCAGCCGCTCCTGCTTCAGGTCCCTCTTCCGGCCGGACTTATCCCGAAAAATGGTTTCAGCATGTCGCGATTCAGCTAGAGACAAAGAGAGGTGTGGCTAATCCCTCCCCCCAGGGCCTGGCCATTTCCCAGCGGTTTTGATAGGAAGGGGAAATGACTCCCTGCAGGGGGCGCCACGCCTGCAGCCACCCATCGCCCCCACCGCCACTGCGCGTGGGAAGGCCGGGGTGCTGCACAAAAGCCTCACAGGGCCCACCAGCCCAGGTTCCCCCCAGGAGCCGCTCTCAGCTCCTTTCCACCAACACACCCCCAGAGGGAACGCGCGTCCGCCCCACAGAGCCAAAGCAGCAGGCGAGACGGCAGCTCAAGGTGCTGCCTGTGCCGCGGATCACGGAGTGGCCCCGCTCTGGCCTCCCCGGTCCGGCTCCCACCACCGCACCAGCACCAGCAGCAATCCGGGGGCATACACCACGACGTGCACCTTCCAGCTGTTTGCTGCCGCCACCGCCGTCCTGCTTCCTGGACGCCTGCTGCTCCTTCCTGAGCAGCTCGGCCGACACCAAGCCAGCTTTGCCCCCCGAGAGCATCTGCGGGTCCTGCAAGGAAAAAGCGGCACGACCTTGTGGCAGAGCACACGACGCAAACAGCACCTTCACGACGGTCGCACAGAGAAGCAAAACCCACAGCCCCGGCCGTGGCTGAGTGCGCACCCTGTGGTTCCTGTGCCGCCCTTTGGAATCCGCAGCCCAAGAAGGCGGAGCAAGGGCAGGAGAGGTCCTGGGTGTGGGAGGCATCTTTGGCACCTCCTGGCCCCTTCGCGGAGGAGACGAATCAGAATCTGAAGACGTGCGTCGATTCCTTCTTGGGGGAGAGAGGTCTGAGGAGGGGCTCCGTCGCAAGCCGGCACTGTGCACAGACCGTGGCGGAGAACGGTCCGACCGCGAGGCGGCTCTGGCACTTCTCCTCGATGAGGGGGAGTCGGAATCTGATTCAGAGTCGTGCCTCTGGCACCTCTGTGGTGAAGGCGCTCCTGGACACGGCTGCTTCTTGGCTGGAGCACCTGGGCGTAGGCCAAAGCAAAAACAAAGCGAATAGGACAAGCCCGCACACAGCCCGAGCCAAGCGCATCCGTGTATTTGACCGGCTGCTTCCCAGGGCTTCAAGCATCCTGCGCTGGACCCGCACCCAGCAAAGCTCTTCTCTGCCAAGCACCCCTTCACGGGCCTCACGCTTCCCCAGGCCGGCCGGCCAGCTGGCCAGCCTCCTCATGGCCGCTGCCTCCGAGGCATCAGATGCGACAGCTCTGCATCAGTGTGCGTTTTCCCTTGGGGTCGCAACACACCTGGAGCAGCCTGCTGCCTTCGATGGGCTGCGTTCTTGTCCGCACTGGGTTCCTGTCGGCCTCCACTTGAGCTTCTGGTATCATTCTTGCCTGTTGCAGAATGGAGCCTTTCAGGAGGCAGAACAGGCGAGTCCCGGCGGCCCTTGCGGGGCGGCGACAGGTCCGGCGAGTCCCGGCGGCCTTTGCGGGGCGGCGACAGGTCCGGCGAGTCCCGGCGGCCCCTCTTAATAAGGGAGCTTTTCATTTCCATTTGCTTTGTAATTTCCAAACTGGAACATAACGTAAGCATGTATTAATCAAAGATTTTAATAGCAAGCCAGTTTCAAATTACATTTTGTTGTCAAGATCCTTTGGCCCTTTTTCAGAAGCAACAGAAAGCAGGAACAGCTTTCCTGGCCAGAGGAGCAGGACCTTGAAACTGCTGTAGATGGCAAGCTGAGTAACAGTCAACCACACAAGATGGCTGCAAAACCAGCCGATGCCATTTTGGTTGCGTTCATGGAAGGGTGGCTTCCAAAGCACACGACGCGCTGGTTCCCCTCCTCAGCACTGGGGGGGCCTCATCTGGGATACCACACTCAGGCTGGGCCTTCACAGCTTCAGGAAGACGCAGACAAACTGGAAAAGTTCACAGGAAAGCAACAGGGAGAGAAGAGGCCGCTTAATCAACTGAAATGCTTCACCTGCTCGCTGATTTCGCAGTCACAGAACGGTCAGGACCTCGAAATCCTTCATTCTGGTCTACAAAAGGAAGAAATGAAAGCCCTCTTCACGTCGCGGACCAGGCGCAGAGCTGCGTGCCAGAAAGCGCTAGTTTCACACCTGCTCTAGCCACGGTTTTCCAAAGGGATTCTAGCCCCCAGACTGGGATCTTTGAGGCCCTGCCATCTCAGACTAAGCTCCTGAATCATCCCCAGACTGGGATCTTTGAGGCCCTGCCATCTCAGACTAAGCTCCTGAATCATCCGCAGACTGGGATCTTTGAGGCCCGGCCATCTCAGACTAAGCTCCTGAATCATCCCCAGACCCTGGTATCACCGCCTTGCTTCTACCATCAGCAGGTATCGCAGCCAGCTGCACTGCTCTTCGATCTGCTGAGTGCACGTTTCACTGGGCCATCACCCTCTGCATGGCCTAAATGCCCAAGATGAGTGAATCATGTTGATTTTCTTTTAACGTTCCCTTTGGTGCAGCTCCGGCTACCCATGGAAGGCCCTCACACCAACATTTACCAGACTAACCCTCTCCTTACTTTCTAGCCTTTTCCCTTCTGCCAAGCCTACTCTGAAACCATCCCCTTTGAAACCAAATGGCACCTGGCACAGGTGGCTCCCAATGCACAGAGTTATCTCTGTCCAAGAACCTCAGAAGGGAATAAACTACCAGCTCATCAGGAGAACACTAACCTCCCAATAGCTTCCACTTGTTACTGGTTCGGAATTCCTCCATCCATTTAATTTCATCCGGTCGTTCATCAATAAACTCAGCCACCTGAAAGAAACAAGTCAGACAGGGGAGTGAGCCATCTCAAGCAGCCAGTTCTACTTGGGGAGGCAAGTAACAAACATCCAGTGTTTATTTAGAGGCTTAGACTCGGAAACCTCTAACTCTGGTGAGTAAAACTGAAATGTAATGACCTCCCCTGCACACAAGCAGCAAGAAAAACTGGTGCAGCAAAGCATTCTGAAGAACACTGCAGGACTATGAACAACCTTATTAACAGTGGTATTCCATCTGCAATGGCTTGGTTCCAGCCACTGAACACTTACCACAGGCAAGTCTCCATCATCACCCTCCGCATCCTCCTTGTCCTGCTCTGTGGGAATGCTTTTCCAGCTCGTGTCATCATCATCCACTATGCGCATTCTGGGTATCAAGAGGATAAAAGGGTGTGGTAGTCATCAGAATGCTTTCTAAACATAGTAAGATTTGGGAAACTCAAAAGTTTCTAGAATAAGAAGCCAACCACAGCACGCTTAAACCTTGCCTCTCACCATCCATCACATCCTATACATGAAATACATGTCACAGAAGTGTGCATTTGGAGTGTTAAATCCTGCCTGCAAATGCCCCCTTTTGGTGCTTGCGCTGAACAGGGCGAATTCCTCCACAGGCAGGTCTGCAGCCTTAGCCTCTGAGGTCACCCGGACCAACGTTTGCCCCAGACTTCACAGCTCAGGGAGGTGAGTAGAGACCACCTCCTCCAAACCCAACACAGCTGAGTTGTATCGGGAGACTCGGAAAGCACACAAATCACAGCCCCATCACAGCAGACCATGTGAAATTTATTCTGCGTTAGAGGTTTCTACTTATTATTTTTTAATGGTTTTAATCAAACCGCAAGAAGAACCTCGGTAAACTCATAGCACAAAAAAATTGAGCCCAATACAGCTTTACTCATACTTAGTGAATTCAATACTTTTGTGATAACTGAATTCCTATCGAGTAGAACAAATCTACTCTAATTATGACTAAGTCTGGATACTAACAATAAGCAAATACATGTGGGTTTTTTCCTGCTCCCTAAAAACTCCACCTGTTCAGCTTAATTTTCTCTCCAGGGCGCTTTCCTGACCATTCCGTCCACTTCCCATTATGATCTCAATTAAGTGTTTTGTTACAACGCACAATAATACGTTTTTGTTTTTTTTTCCTTTTCAGGAAGCTACCAGTAAATAGGGGTCGCGATGGGTCGGGCACGACTAACATAACATAACCAGTAAACAGATGTGTGTAAGTACAATACAAAACATTATCAATAAACTTGGTACTTCTCAGACACCAAGAAGAAAAATCCACGCCTTCGGAGAGTTTACGGACTCAAAGCAGCTGTGCGGTAGCCCGGCCTTCGGCAACCGGCCGCGGGCCGCGAGACCCACGGTCAGCGGGGGCCTGCGGAGTCCGCCCCGCCAGCGCCGCGCGGCCGTCGCCAGGGGCTTCCTCGGGCGGGTCTCCGCCGCGGGGCGCCTACAGTGGAGCCGTCCCGGCGGCTCCCCGCCACGACGGGCGGCGGAGGGGGCCCCGCGCTCTTACCCGCCGGCCAGAGGCCCCTTGGCCACCTTCCTCCTCCTGCGCCGCTTCTTCTCCGCCTCGGCCCCGCCGGCCTCCAGGTAGCGCCGCCGCAGGTACTCGGCCTTGGAGAGACCCGAGGCGGGAGGCGCCGCCATCGCGGGCGGAAGCTCCGAGGTCCGCCGCGCACGCGCCACCCCTCCAGCGGAAGCCGCCGCCAAGCGGGCGAGCGGCGCAGGCAGAGCGGCGCGGCGCGCAAGGTGGGCGCCCCCTCGCGGCCGGAGGGCGCCGCCGCCCCACGGCTCGCCTCCTGCCCGCAGGCCGGCGAGTCGGCTCTCCGCGCGGGCGTCGGTATGGGGAGCGGGGGGATTCCGGCTGTTTGGGGCCTTCAGCTTTCCGCACTCCGAGCCCTGGGCTTGCCAGGGCCGGAAGCCCAACGCATCCAGACAGCTGCCCACGCACACAGCCGGGGCGACCGTTTTCATTCCTTCAACCGGCCCCGCCAGCAAAAATCAATGCCGTGTGGCATTACAGGTGTCCCCTCCACAAAAGGAAGCCTGCAGTCCCAGCAGGCGGGCCCAAAAGGGCTGGGACAGTCCCTCCCCAGCCGCCACTGGCTCCGCGGGGCCACGGCCTCCATGGGGAAGGCCACCCGGTGCTGCGCCCCAGGGCAGCCGACCAAGCCAGCCACGTGCCAAGAGGCGGCAGCTGCCGCGCCGCAGCTCGGGCCTGCGGCTCCCCAGGGCCACAACATGGCCCTGCTGAGACAGCAGAGCTCCCCAGCTGCTCCTTCCACAGGAAGCAGGTCCAGGCCCAAGGCTCCTTAGCCAGCCCCACAGCTCCAGACACCAGGAGTTTTCCCCAGAGAAGGCGCTGCACTTGAACTATCACAACACCTCACTGCTTTATTGCTCCAGCGTGGACAGACAGAGCAGACAGACGGACAGACAGCCACCGGGAGGGGAGGGGAGGGCACAGGGCTGGCCATGCTACAGCCGCTCGCAGAGATGCAGTCCATATTCTGGCACGGAGCAGCAGTCAATACGCAGCCAGGACCTGCTAAAGGACCCGCCAGATTAGATGCCGGCAAGATGAAGACGCTGAGGGAGCAAGAAGGGGGGCGGTGAAGCTGTGATCCACTCGCAGCGCAGGACACCCTGCCCCCCCACCCCAAGCCGGCATCCTCTCCAGGTCAGCCACGCCTCGGCTTTAACGGGGGAAGGCTGTGCTAGCGGTCCTCCGTGGGCCGGCGTCAGTCCCGAGAGCCACACGCTGCTGCCCGAGGAAGGATCTTGCTGGGGGCCTGCGGGTGCTTTTGGAGGGCCCCGCCCACGGCCCCGCCTGCCTCTACGACTGGCTGGCGCCGTCTGCCTCGTAGCCCTCCGTCTTCATGTCGTTGAGGCCCAGCGCTTCGTTCTGCTCGAACAGCCGCTCGTAGCGCTCCACGCGCATCTCTGGGTCCTCCTCGGGGGCGTACAAGTTCTGCATGGGCGGGAGAGAGCGTGAGGCAGCCCCAGAACCCCCCGGCCACCCGTGATGCTCCCAGGCAGGAGGGCGCTGGGCAGGGGAGCCGCCGGGCCCATCGGAGCAGAGGGGGTGCGAAGCGGGCCGTGGCAGGCCCAGCCCACAGGCAGGTCTTTATTCGGGGCCTTTCTCGCACATCCTGAGGAACGGAGGGCCAGGAGCGTGGGCAGGAAGGCAGTCCAGGCCCTTCCACCCCTCTTAGCTGAACGGGCTCTTCCACACTCTGCCCACAAGGGAACGTCCGCAGTCCCACCGGGGCTGTTCACTCTACCTGAAGATAGCTGTTCCCTGCAGGGTCATCCAGGACAAAATGCACCCTCAGCTGACCGTCGATGATCTGAGGGAAAAGCCAGCTGGTCAACACACAGGGAGGGCCTCTCAGCACCTCCTCCCAGCACTGTGCAGGCAGCAGCAGCACCGCTCCGAAATGCCCCAGTGGCCACCCCTGAGCTGCACGGCCCCCCATGGGAAGCTGCCTCCCCCTTGCTCACGCAAACCGATTTACAGCTGAAGAGTTGGCATTTTAATAGGCCAGGGCCGCTTATTTTTTCACTGCTGCGCTTCTAATTGTTTGCTTTCTAATTACAGTAATTCCATTTCCATTGTTAGCCACCTTGTATGCCATTTGCTGGCAAAGCGTGGGCCATCAAGTGCCCTTGCTGCGATGCCCCTTGGGGAAAACACTTTCCTCACCTGCTGCAGCTTCTGGCCAAAGGCGCGAAGTTTTTCCGCTTGGTCAGGCGTGGAGCTGTCTCCCAGGGTGAAGGGGTTCTTCGCCACCTGCAGGAGGGAAGACTCGGCTTTAGGGTGCCACTTGGCACCAGCTCTCCCAAGGCTCTCCACAGGGGTCCCCGCAGAGCCTGCAGACCCAACTATCCCGTGACCTAGCAGAGCCCTCCTCTCCCGCTGACCCCTGCCTTCTGCCAGAAATGGGGTGCTCCGGGAAGAGCTCCCCGTCCCGTCCCCTCCTCTCCATCTGCAAGGAAGGCCACAAGCCCCCTTCAGATGGAAGCAGCTCCCCCGTCCATTCCCATGTCTTGCCTCAAGCGGTTTTTGCCTAGGAGCTGCCTTGGGGGGGGGGGACTCCCCAGAAAGTGGGACGCCCCTTCACTGGACAGTGAGCACTCACCAGATCCTGGATGTCCTTCAGCAACCCTTCCAGCGTGGTAAACTTTCCACCCAGTGCTCCCATTCCCAGCTCAAAGTCCAGCTCCGGGATTTCCACCCTGCAGGTTTCGGACTGTTGGGGGAAAGCACATTCCACTCAGGTCCTGCAGGGCCACGTGGGTTGCAGCCGTCGCCGAGGAGGAGCCCTACCTTCAGGATGTCTCTGGTCAGATCCGAGGGGTCTGTCACATGCAGGGTGATCTTGGTCCCCAAGGGCTCTATGGCCCCTCCTGATTTAACCTGGAAAGGGGGAGGCGAGCCATGAGAAGCGGAGGGCGGGGCTCATCCCGCTGCCGAGTGCAGGGCCAGCCACACGCAAGGGCCTCACCTCGTTTGTCCGGTGCCCACAGGAGTCGCAGCTCGTGGCCATGATGATCACCTCCTTGAAGTGGGGAATCTCTGAGGAGGAGCCGTCAAGGAAACCTGCACGCGGGCCCCGCCGGCACGTGAAGGGGGCCTCCCTGGACACGCGTGCTCTCAGAATGCTGCGTGACACATCCGGTCCCAAGGCTGCACTCCAGAGACCACTGCAGATGGGCACACCAGGCCCCGCGTGGCCAACCAGCCCTCCGGGGCCCCACTGCCCCTCCCCGGGACAGGACCAGAACGTGGCAGGTTCTTCTGGCACAGGCGCAAAGGATACGCACCAGCTTCATGTTCGTAGCGGCTGGAGCATTGCATTCTGGGCAGTTTGTGCTGAACTGCAGCACCTGGAGCACGAGAGAAGCGACACGGAGGTCTTCACCCAAAGGCCAGCCTGTCCGGAGGACTCCCGCCACGCCCAGAGTTCGAGTCGGCCCGGGAGGGGCTGCTCCACGGCACAGCAAGGCTGCACAGGTGCCAGGCCTTCCTCAGGTGACTCACCTCGTTCCGCAGGTCCTCGGCAGAATCCACTGAGTTCCCCTTGGACTCCTCTGCCTGAGAAAGAACAGAGGGGCTGAAACTGCCCCCTTCCTTGCCCGTGATCGTAGGAGCAACGCCGTGGCCCCACCAGCAGGAGCGGCACCAGACCACCAAGGCCAGGCGCCCTGTGGCCCAGCTTACCTCCATCCCAAGCGCAGCCGCTTGCTGAGCAGTTCTCCAGTAGTGGGCCACCACCAGGGCTTCGTCTCTCTGTGGGGCATAAGGGTTCTCCACAAAGCTGTTACCTGAGGGGTCGTCTAGGATCTAGGAGACAGGGAAGAGCAAAGCCACGCAGACCCTCATTCCGCTTCTCCAGGGAGCAGCCGCATGCCTGCGTGCACTCCTCCGGGCAGCCCCACCCCGATGGTACCTACAAAAGTGAAGGCGGAATCCACTTCTTTTAGGCGCTTCAGCTTAAATATAAATGCATCTATTTTTTCTGCCACATCCGCGTCTGCTGCCTGTAACAAAAACCCAGAAGCAGCTGCCCTCAGGCTCCACATCCTCCAGACCCACCTGAAGTAGGCCTTGCAGCAGATGAACCCCAGTGTGCGCAAGGGAACCCACTGCCCGGCCCCCACTCTGCAAGAAGGGCCCAAGAAGGGACTGGGTCCATTCCTGGAGGGCATGGGAGAGCCACTTCCCACAGGCAGCCAGCCGCCCACATGCTGCACAGAATGCCAGATCAGATGCCTTCTGTGTTCTTACAACAGGACCGGTTTTTCTTTCTTCTCTCTCCCCCAAATTATCTATTACTCTGACTGGCAGTGACTCTCTGGTAAGAAAATTAACTGTGTGCAGTCTATATGATCTGTGATTGAGCACATTACAGGTCTGTTTGTGTGCAGTACATCTGCACTCAAAGAGTATTTGCTTACAAAAATGGGGCAGCTGACATTTCAACTGAGTATTTCCCGCATTTCCAGCAATGTTGGGGATATTCCTAACCAGATTCAGGAATCATTGCTTACATGCCTACAACAGAATCCTCCAACCACACAACCACCTGTGACTCGTCCTTTTGACCTAGAGATGCCCAGTCGCCATTCCGTAAACAGGCCGTTCTACAGGGATCACTGGAACAACTCCCAGTGCCAAGAGCCATTTCCGGGAGCAGCAACCAGCTCCGCAAGGACCTCCCCTGGCTCCCAACCAGTGCCCAAGCCTCACGAAGCCACAGGCCCCATTCAGGAGGGAAGCGCCTCCTCGGAGCATGTACTCACCCGGCGTCCCGGCTGGTCCTGCTCCAGGCCTGCTATGGCCCTGTCAATTAACCCCTCCAGGGTGGTAAGAGCTGGCGAGAGTGACAGGAAAAAACCAAGGCGTTACGAGCCTTCTGACCATGGCAGCCACCTTCCACCTTGGCACACGAGCCACTTATTATTACTGGAAGTAACGCTGGTTCGTTGCTGGCTCCCCTGGGCTACTGTCTGTGCATCCTGCCAGCCGTGAAATCCTCTGCAGTGAGCCAAAGACAAGGCAGCAGCCAAGGAGAGCCACAACGGCTGCTCATCAGAAGGCGGCAGCGAGACCGCTGCATGTCTCCCGTGCCACTGTCCCCTTTCTCAACTGTGCCCCGCAATCCCAGCTACCCAGAGAAAACACAGCAGCCGGAACGGGGATGCTGGCAGGGTGCCAGGGCAGGGAGTGAGCTGACATCACGCCTCAGAAGCTCAAAACCATCCCTACTTTGGACTGCAGTCAGCCCTTGACCCGAAGAAAGATGGAAGCCTGCTTCCCGGTATGCAGGAAAAGGCTTCTCGGGGGTCTGGATCCCCCTGCCTGACCTCTGGCCCGTTCAGGCACCGCTGCTCAAGCCAGGCCTGCAGAGCCCTGGGACCAGCAGGCCCCCTGTGCAGCCCAAGCACCCCGTGGAACAGGCCCCTTCCACACCCCTCCACGGCTCCTCCTCCTCCTCCTCCTCCTCCAGTGGGTCACCTCAACAGCATCAAGAACGTGCTAGTTGCTCCTGAGTCCCCTGATCACAGTCCGCAGCCCCAAGACATACCAAAACGACCATATACCCACCTCCCTTCTGAGAAAAGGCAGGGATTTCAAAGTCTAGCTCAGGGACTCTAGCTGTGGCACAGTCAGTCTTCACCACTTCCCTATTCATATCCTGGAGAGAATGATTTACAGGAGAGGTTACACCAGCCTTGAAGCCACCCGGACAGGCGGGGACAAGGGCAGGCCCAAAGCACACATGAACGACGGGGGAGGCCGAGCAGGATGGCAAAACCGACCCGCACAAGCCCAGCTGCAAGGCACACACCTGCTGAAACCCCTGCCACAGCCTTCTTCCACCGGAGGCCCACAGTTGCTTTGGATTTCAATTCCCGTCGGCCCCAGCCAACACAGCCAGGAATGCCAGGAGCTGCAAACTAACTTCCAGAGGGCACCAGCTGGGCAGGGCTGCCTCACAGCGAGAGCAAGGGGCTCCCCTCACCTTCCCTGATGCTCGCATTGTGTGTTCACACGCCTTGGTGCCCAGGCTGCCCTCTCACCCACTCTGAGCCTTTTTGAACTCTGCACTGTGGTGTGAATGCAGAGTATCTCTTCTGGCTGGACTGAAGGACCTTTTACATTTGAGACAACGGCTACCAGCTTGTTGTTTTAGGGGCACAATACCATGCGAGGTCTACAATTCCCGGCATGTCCCAGGTGAGCACGCTGGAAGCTGTCAGCCTGTCGTCTATCTAAACGTGCAGGGGATTACAGCTTCACTTTCCTAAGGTTTGTCTGCAGTCTAAAGCCTCAAAAAGGTGCTTAATGAATATGCATATGCAGTATTTCGCTTTCACGGACATTGACATCATCTTAATGAGCATCTGGACCTGTGTGAGCCTGCCCAACCCGATGAGCATGAGACCCTCCTCTGGCCAAGCAGCAAGTGCCATTGTGCGCCAGGAACGGGGGAGCATGTCCCATGCCTTCGGAATTCCCTCTCCGGGGAGGTAAGTACGGTCCCACCACCACGGGCTTGAGTTTGTTCCAGTCTTTGTTATTTAAAGATCATTCCCCCTTGCTCCTGTCCCTCATGTGTCTGTATTTAATTGTGTTCACTTCTTTGATAGCATTGTAAGTGGACTTCTGATGTCAGTGTACCCTAAAAGATTTATTCATTCAAATAAAAACTCTTTATTTGAATAACATTGGCAATATTTATTTTCCCTCCTACAGAATCCCAATACAGGCATTGCCAGACTCAGAATGGTCTAGCTTCAGCACTGTTGCAGTATCACATCATTTAGAACTAAACCATGGAACTGTTCAAAGGTGGATTTCTCAGTGTTGATTTCTAAGGCATGAAAGCAGAAGCCCAGCCAACCTACAGCCACACAAAGCTCAGCTCTGAGCAACGGAGCAGGGATGCCTCCCTGAATTAATCATGTGTTACTGCTTTCATGACCCAGACGCAAGAGGAGCGCAATACCAAGAGGTGCAAGGACCCCAAGACAGCATTCAAACACTGACCAATGAGGTCCAAAGGGACAAGGCCTGCACCAATACCAATCTCCAAAGTTGCCAATATTCCTTCAAAAGCAAAGCTACTGCTCTTCAGAAACTGGAAGGAGCAGCAGGACGCAGACCAACCCACCTGCCTGTTTCGCACACTCAGTGTATAGCACACTCCTTGATCCTGGATCCGACCAGCCGACTGGATCTCAGAGTTTGACCAGTTACAGCTGCTGCAGGTGAAGGAACTGACAATGATCTCCTTGAAGAATGGAATTCTGGTCAACAACAATCGAGTCACTCCCTACAGCAAGCCAAAAACAAACCAACCAACCAACATAAACCTGAATCCCAAAGGCTCACAATCCCCTGCATTTTCACACTTTCTACATTCCCCTTTATGTGCATACATAGCCTTCACCCCAGAATCAGAGCTCTGAAATGGTTGCCCCCTCCAGTTTCCTAGATAAAATCCCACCTGCTTCCGTCAGGCCAGAAGAGGCGTGGGAAAGCACAGCCCAAGCCTGGCGCCCTACTGCCCCCAAGCTTAGCCCTGTTCCCTAAGGCCCATATTCCGAGCGCCGAGGCCGCCCGGAGCAGCGAAGGGCCTGCAGGGGGAGACGGTGAACGAGAGGGAGGAAACCGGCCCTCCCCGCCTGACGCTGAGGACTAGCAGCCTGAGCGGGCCTTGTTCCCTCGCCGCCGCCAGGCTCACCTGGCGATAACAGGCCATGCACAGCGACTCGATCTCCGCCGGCAGCTGCTCCTCGTCCTCGGCGCTGAGGGGGCGGAACAGCCCTCCCGCCGCCGCGGGGCCCTCTTCCGCGGCGCGGCCCGGCGCTCCGAGGGCTGACATGCCTGCACCGCCGCCCCGGCCCTTGCGCATGCGCGCCTCCGAGCACCGCCCTTCCGCCGGCGGCCTGCCGGGGCGCGGGCTGATGGCGTCACGGGCGCGCTACTCCCAGGCGGGCTTCTGGGCCTGGCCGGGTGGGCGGCCCGGCTCGGCCCGCCCGCCCTGCCACTTCTTTCGCCGCCCCTCCGGGAGCGGGAGCTGCTCGCTTGCTGCGTGTGTGCCCTGCTTGTCTGAATAAACTGCTTTTGAACGCCCTCCTCTGGTGCTCTTGTCGCGGGAAATGGCAGATGCCCCGGGGCGGGAAGGAGCTCGCGGGGCTCTCCCCCCACACACACACACTGCCCTTTCTGGCCAGGAGCCCGCGGAGCTTTGTTTACGGGCGAATGTTTGGGAGAAGACGAATTCTGCGCAGCTGCCAAAGTCCAGCTCCAAGCAGTCGTTGCCCCTGAGCTGGTACCAAAGTTCACTCGCCACCAGCTTGCGATTCCTGCCCAAAGAGCACCGGGCCTCTTGCAGTGTTCATTATACCCTCCTCAGGACTCCAGGATGCCTGGGAAGAGAGATGTTTCAACAGGTCTGGGAAGGCCCCCCGAGGATAATCTCCGACGCTTCCCCTTCCGGTTTCCTGGTCCTTTCACTTAGATCCCCAGCACCAAGTTGCCCATGCTTCCCGTTGGAGGGGCTGTGCTACCTGTTCCTAAAGGTGGCCTCCAGTCCTGCTTTAAAGTGTCCTTTCCTGGCCAGTTTCTGCTTTCCTTAGGAAGATATTTAACAATCAAGGTGATCTTCCTACCTTTGTTAGGTCAAAACAGTGCTCTTCACAAGGCTACATTAAATGAATGTGCTCATTTTAAAATTGTTCCTGCTAAATCAAAGCTCTCCTGGCATACTGCTGAAAGTGAGCTGCTAACACTACGTGTATACAGTGGGGCTGGCGACCCTTGTGATGGTCTACTTTTTCTGCTAGTAAGCCAAAATTGTATTCTATAGAATGTAGCTCTTAGAATTACCAGTCAGAAGATAGGGATCCAGTATTCCACCTCATCTTCCTTAACACACATTTTGAGTGAGGAAGAAGATGAAAGCAGTGAGAAAACACAGGAAGGTTGTGAGTGAAAGGTATTGTCTGAACACCCCGTGAAATGTGCATGTGGCAGATTAAAGACACTGTGGTCCCGATTTTCCTAGCTGTGAGCCAAGTATACAAGGCAGCAGCCTGTGGGAGTCACTCTTCTGAGAAGTTCCCCTTTCTGTTATCAACATGGACTTTGCCCTTTGGAAGGACACATTATAATGGGCTTAAACTGCAGGAAGCCAGATCCTGGCTGGATATCAAGAAAAAATTCCTGCCTGATGGAGCCAATGGTCTGGGGAGGATGTGCGCTCTCCCTCGCTGTGGGCATTCAGGAGGTAGTTGGGCAGCCATTGGTCAGGGATGCTTTAACGGGGTCCTGCAATGAGCAGGGATTTGGGCTTGATAGCCCTCCAGGCCCCTTCCAATTCTACCATGATTCAAAGACAGCTGTTTGTGAAATGCGGACAGGGATCTCCTCATTAAAGCCCCCACACACACCTCTTTTGAAGCTTATCTAGGTGCAGTGGAAGCCCCTAAGAATTGTGCCAGCAGCCCACATCTGCAGTACAGGCATTATTATGGGTTTGCCAGGTTTCCCAAGATTTGGGCACACAGCTAATCAATCACTACCGTTATCCTCATTTCAGTCATTCCAGACTGTGCAGAAAATGACAAGGTGTTTGCAAACTGACGAAGTGCTACCAAAGTTAGATCCACATGCAAAAGTTTTGCTGATTAATTCAAATCCATTTGCAACTTTCAACTCTTCCGCTTCCTGACAGTTTTTCCTCTCTGATCAGAGGCTGTCCCTCGCCCAGTGTCCTGGTCAGTGACGCGCAGCACCTGCCCACACTGTTTCCCCCGAAAGCCCTGGGCCCTTTGGCTTCCCACCAGTGCAGTTCATTTCTCCCTTGTTGCCGCTGCTGCCAAACAACTGGAACGCACATCGACATTCCCTGACACCACAATGGCATAGCATCTTTTAGAAAGAGGCACCAGTACAGCTATTCATTGTGCTGTATTTACCTTTGGCCAGTAGTTGTCTGTCCCACGGGCCATGTCCACACCCTCCTCCTCCAGGCACGGGCACCCCCATTTTCCTTGCACATAAAGGCTCGGACATGTTCCGCGTGGACCGAGCCTTTCCCCGCCCCACAGCCCTTCCACGGTGGCCCAGGGGCGCGTCAGCTCCCTCCCCCGGAAAGAGGCAGTGCACGCTGTGCATTGCTGCATTGCTCGTTTATTTCAGCAGAGACGGTGTAAGACATGGGCACTTGTGTGCACAGAGATCGTTAGCAGGAGTGGACATACAGGTGGAGTTACACAATGGTGCCCAGTGTTGGCCCAACTAAGACAACTGGGACACCCTCCCACTCCAGGCTGGGCTGCGGCACCCTGGATCTCACAGGGGGTTGTGATCCACACCCTGCCAATGCCAGGAGAGCGTGGTGATGCCAAGAGCAAGGAACTGGGCTGGCTGCTGTGATGGTGGAGAGAAAGGCACCTTTCTAGTTCTTGGTCTGCTTCATCGAATTGAGGAAGTCGTTGATCCTGATGTTCATTTCCTCCTCCAGAGACCTCATGTGGCCCACCTCACCAGTGACACTCTGCAGGTTCTGCTGCAACTCCTCCATCCCCTGTCCCAAGGTCTGGAGGAAGACTTCCCTGACCTGCTCAGCATTTTGGCGGAACTCTTCAACATGCCCTTCAATTCTCTCATTCACTTGGGTGACGTAGGCCATGGTCTCGCCTGAATTGCTCTGAAGTTTCTCCCTCAGCTCCATCAGCACGTGGCTCAGGCTGTCTTGCAGCCCCTTGGCGCGCTCCAACATCTTGGCTCGCAGTTGCTCAGCTTTCTCCTTCATGTGGTCAGACATCCCCGCCAGCTGACGAGTCAGCTGCTCCTGCATGTGCTGCATGTAGGGAGAGACCTGAGCGTGCAGATCCTGCATCCTTTGGTCTACTCTGGCATTGAGCTCCTCATTGAGCAGTTCTAGGTTCCCCTTCATCTGCTCTACCTGCTGCTGGATGCTCTGCTGCAGCTGATCGGCATAGGGCAGGCTGCCGGTGTTCTCCTTCAGCTTCTGGAAGGCGACCTTGAGGGTCTCCTCCATGCCTGCCACGTTCTCATTCACCAGTGTTTGCACCCTCTCGACAAAAGGGGTAAAGTCGTTCTTCACACTCTGGATGGTGTCGGCAACCTTCCCCCCGACCTCAGCAGCGTGAGAAGAAATGCCGCCTTGGAACCGCTGTAGCTTCTGCTGCATATGCTCCGCCAACTTTTGGGATTCCTCTTTCAGCTGGGTAAGGAACTCGCTGGTAAAGGGACCCATGTTCCCCTGCAAGGACTGTAAGTCCTGGGCTTTGTTCTGGATGAGGGCCTTGAATGTGTCCCTGTGGGGAAGGGAGCAGAGGGTGGGAAATGATCCTTGGCTCGTCTCCCAGCATGTTGCTGGGGCTGGTGAAGCTGGGCATCCTGGTCCCAGAGAAGGCTTCTGCGCCATTGCCGTGGCCCAAGCATATTCTGGGATGGCTGCATGGGCCAAGATGCCATTGCTTTCTAGAAGGGACCCTCCCGCATGTTGCTCCGTCTTTCCCCATCTTTTCTCTTAATGCGGAGAACCCGTGAAGCAGAAGAGGGGCCGGTTGTACAAGGCCTTCTGGTTGCCAGAGCTTGGGCTCCTCCCTCCTTCTGAGCCCCAGAGCCAGACGTGCTTGGCTCTCCCCCGGGGCTGTGCCCTCCCCACTGCTATCGCTACTCACTGGACTTTCTGGGTGAACTCCGACCCCATGGTGTCGCTGGCATCACCGCTCCACTTGGCGAAGTACGACTGCACCACGCTGGCCACCTTTTCAGCGTCGACATCTGCCCGGGCAGCTGTGGGGCCATGGGAAGAGCGGGCAGTGCTGCGCGCAAGGCCCCGAGGACTCGGCACCACCTCCAGATCCAAGGCAGGCTGCCCCGCGCACCCTGAGTCTCTCACGCCCTGCTTGTGGGTTTCACGCCGGAAGCCCACTGGCCACCAGGCAAACTGGCCGCACCAGCAGCTCCCCCTTGGGCTGTCCCCAGCCCAGCGCAGTCGTCGCATGGCCCCCGCCCCCGCCAGGCCTCGGGGGGCCTGGCCCGCCTCCCAGCTGGGGCATGGCGGCAGCGTCGTCTCGACCGTGTGCCACCACGGCCGCTCCCTCCCTCCGTGGCAGGACCCTTGCGATGGGCGCCCGTGCAAGAAACGCCGCGAGAGCACAGAGGCTGGCTGGGGCCTGTGGCAGGGGCCGCACAGTCCCGGCAGAGCGCTTCCCTCCCACAGGCACTCCCTCCCACAGATGCGCCGATCCCGCTGGCTGTGTTCAGCCTGAGCTGCGAGTGGGCTCCGTTCGAGGGCCGCTCCTGGGCAGCTCCTCCAGCCAGCAAACGAAGAAGCAAGTGCCCAGTCAGAGCTTGTGAGGAGAGACTCGCCGTCAGGTAGACCGCAGCTTGCCTCCATTTCGTGCACGGCCCGAATGGACACAAGAGCCAGCCTCTCTCCGCAGGGATGTGGCGAGGAGGGGACCGGCCGGCGCCCTGCAAGCACCTGGCGGCCGTCTCCAGGAGGAGGGCAGGCTCTCTCCTCCCTTTCCAGAGCGCAGGGCACAGACTGATGGGGTTCCGTTTCAAAGACACCGGTCCGACACCGGGAGTCGAGGCGGAATGCCTTCCCTCGCTGCCGGGGCAGTGCAACAGAGGCACCTGGTCCCGGGAAGCCGCGTGCTCTCCCTCGCTGGAGGCAGGCCGGAGGCGCCTGGGCCAGCCGGGTGCCCTGTGCCAGCAGGCGTCGGGGCCAGCGGCCCTCTGCCCCTCCGCCCCTGCCCTTCACGGTCCGGGGTGCTCTCCTCTTCTCCTTTGGGGTGGAGAGCGAGCGGGCGACTCACCTGTGGCAGCTGCGAGGAGGCCGAGGATCAAGGCTGCTGCCCTCAGAGCCATCGTCTTCCGCTGGGTCTTCGCAGGAGAGGCTGAAGGGGGGCTCTGCAAGGGGCGAAGGCAGTGAGGCCGCCGCTCTGCTCCGGCAGCCCCCTCCAGGTCCCCCAGCGCCCCTTGCGCCCCGCGCTTTCTCCGCGCATCCCCCAGCCCGGCAGGAGCGCCCCGCCCGAGGCGGCCCAGGTGGGCCAGGTGAGCCCCAGGCCGCCCCTGCCGCGCCCTCGCCCGCGCCCGCTCACCTGCGCCGCGCCTGCTGCTGCTGCTGCTGCGCTCGGGCGGGCGCTCCTATTTAAGCGCGCCCGCCGCCTCCACGCGGCCCGCTGACGCAGCCCGGGCTTGGACTTTAGCAGGGGCGCAACGTGGAGGGCGGCGAGTTGGCTGCGCGTTATCTGCGGGCCTCTCGAGCGGGCGCCCCGCACGTGGAAGCAGCCTGGACCTGCCCGGCGAAGAGCGGCCGGGAGCGCCTCGGCCGCAGCCGGGACCGCTCCGCTCTCCGGGCTGCGGGCGGGCGCGGTGGAGTTCGAGGCGGTGCGAGAACCGGCCGCGCTTGGCCTCAGGGCGGTGGCCGGGAAATGGGAGGGGGCGCCGGGCCGCCCGACGCTCAGCGCCCCCCAAACCGGGGCACCCGCTCTGCCTGCAGGCGCAGAGCAAACTTTAAAAGCGCCGAGACAAAGGCAGCGCAAGCATAGGGTGCGTTTCATTTTTATCCCACCCAATAGTCAAATCTCTTCAAGCAGTTTGCAAAAATTGCAACATAAAAGCATGATGTGAAAAAACCTCTAACTTGCAGCATTAAAAGCACTTTGAAACAGTTAAAAGCGGCACCAAAATGCACTAGCATTGAAATCACAGCTGAGGTGCCTGGCTTCCTTCCTCCCGGAAAGCTCTGCCCAGCTCCACCTGCAAGGCCTCTGCCCCACAGCCCCTCTCCTCCCAGCGTGTGTCCTTGGCCCCGCTGGAGCGGCTGGCTTCTCTTCCCCTCATCCCACGGAGGAGCTGGGGCACAGGAAAGGAACAGAGCTGCTGGGGGCCACAAGGGGGACCTGGCTGTATCCTGGCCCAGTGGCCCCAGGCAGGAGGAGCAGCTGCGCAGGGAGCCCTTCCCCTGCCTGGCTTGCCGCGGGGCACCTAGAGCCCCACCCCCAAAGCTGGGGCCCCCCGGCATAGTTCTGCAGTCTCTGCCCCTGTTGCTGGCAAAGCAGCCCCAGGAGTGGGGGGACTCGCCCGTCCCTGCCAGCCACTTGCGGGGAGAGGAAGGGAAGGCAGTGCCGCATCCAGAGTGATTCCCTGCCCTGCACTTGGGCAGCTGCAAGGGCAGCCCCCCCCCCACGAGGGCCCCGGGGCAAGCAGAGCATCCGCAAGGCCTCCCACCGCCCAGGGGGGTGGGGGGCTCCCCCACACTGGAGACCTTCAGGAAGAAACTGGGCGGGCGCCTGAGTGGGAGGGTGTGGCTTGGTTTCTTGGGACAGCAGCGAGAGGACCTGGTGGCCTCCGTGGCTCCTTCCAGCCCTGCTATTATTCTACCCCTGAAATACCCTGGCGCAGCCCAGAAGAAGGGTCAGTCAGGGACCCTGGGGGGGGGGCATGGAGGAGGTGGCCTGGTGCTGCTTGGTGTACTGGGGCCGGGGCTGGAAGTTGGGGAGGCCCTGCCAGGGCAGACATCAGCAGGGAGCCTGGCACTGCCTGTGGCTGGTGCCCATGCCAGCCATGACAATGGCCGGCTGCATGCGGAGGGCCGCCCGGACGTCGGAACGGGCATCCGTTTGAGAGAAGAGCAGAGCCAGCACTGCCCCGCGCCCCCCCCCCCCCACCGCTTGGCTGCAGCCGGAGGAAGGCAAAGGGCTGTGCCTGACAGCCGGCTCCAAAGAGAGCCGTGGCCAGGAGGTCACCTGCTCTGGCATTGCAGGAGCCCCTTGGCCCCAGCCGAGAGCCCTGGGAAGCCTGGGCTGTTTCCACCCACTCCGGCATCCTGGGTGGGCCCCACTTGGTCTGCAAAGCAAGGCGGAGGATCCCCCCCCCCCCCCCCGCCACAGCCATGCCCTGCACCGTGTGTCTGCTGGACCAGTCAAAGTCTTGCGCCAACTGGCGGCCGGCCGGCCTCTGCCCGGCATGTCATGCCTCATTCCACCCCTGGCCAAGGTGCGTCTGAGCATGCCACCCCGTCTCCCACCCCCCGCGAGGGACTTCGGGGTGCAGTCCTGGCTGGAGTGGAGGCGGCCGCCTGGGCACCTCCTTCACGAGTTCGTGCTCAGCTCTGAGCTGCCCGGGAGCAATACCTTGGACAGTTCCTCTGAGCCCAGGCAGTCGCTTCCTCCCCCAGGAAGCAAGAGCAGCCACGTGGGGGGGGGGGGATGCTGGGCTGGGCTTCCAGGTATCTTTCTCAGCTCAGAAATGCACAACCATGTTTAGTGCTTTATCTTGAGCTCATAGTCCAAGGTGATGCGGATTTGATGTGCAGGAGCTGGGGCAGAGTTCAGCCAGGGATGGCTCCAGCCTGGAAGGGTCAAAGCAATGCCCCTGCATTCCTTCTGGTGCCTGCGTTGTCAGACACGGGGCTGGACGCTTCCTGGAGGCACATGATCATCAAAATCCATCTTTCATTTCAGGACATCCACTCCTGGCACTCTTCACACACGCAGGCCTCAAGGTCGGAAGGGAGCAAAATCTAGTCAGGACTGCCCAACCCCGTACACCATCCCCAGGGAGTGATAAGCTGAGAAAAATGGCCTGCACAGAAAAGAGGTGGCTTCAGCAAGTGAGCCAGGCTGCAAGCAGTGGGACAATAAACCAGAAGTGCAACGCTTGTCACCTTGACGGCTGCCTTCCTAGCCCAGCCGTGAGCTGAGCAGGCTGCCTCCACCCAGCCAGCACTGGGGACTGTGGCTAAGCCAGTTCCCTCTCCCAGGGCCCGTCAGGCCTCTTGGCCGGCAGCTCCAGCCAGCAGCCCGTAGTGCTGACCTCCCCCTTGGGCCTGTGCCAGGGCAGCCACAGGCCCCTCCGCCGGTCCCCTCCTCGCCGGCGAAAGCGAGGGCTGAGCCGGAGAGCAGGCGCCCCCCTCTGCTGCAAGGGGGTGGTCCTGTAAGGCGATCCAGGGCTGCCACTCCGAATGGCAGCCCCACCCCGCCCCAGAACCCTTCCGAGCCAGGCATCGGCCGTGGGGACTGGCTCGTCTGGTGGTTCTGGCCTGGGGCGGGAAGGACCCCTTGATGAAGGGGGGGGCCTTCTAGCAGCGCCATTGCAGATGCTGCCGTTCCAGAGGCCTGCCGAACCGTGTGGAGGATGCCCTTTGGGGCGGAACGCTGGGGCAGGTTCCTGGAGGAGGCAGCAGCCGCTGTGCTGTGCAGGGAGGCAGGCCTGCACGCACCAGCAGCTGCGGAGCTCGGGCAGCGCCTGTCCTGCTTGGGAGTCGCGTGGCAGCCACTCGCCGCCGTGAGCCAGGCACTGGCCCAGAGGGACCCCTGGTCTGCCCAGTGCAGCTGTTTCAATGTCTCTAAGAGGTCCTCCAGCCGAACTTTGGCAAGGAGCCCCACAGCACGGGGAGGGGGTGCAGGTGAGTCTTCCCCGAAGGAAGCAGAAGGCAGGGGGGGCAGCCCCAGGTGCTCTGCTGGGGGCAGTGGAGAGCCTACAGATGCCCAGTTGGGCTGGGCATTGGTGCCCAGTGCTGGTGGCAGGGCAGGGGGAGAGGGCCGCCCTGGGTGCTGGGCCATATGATGCCGGGAGTCAGTGCCCGGACTTTGCCCAGAACGCACCCGAGGCCTCGTCAGAACACACCTGAACCAGGCCACTGTGCCAGGAGAGGTGAGCGGATGGGGAAGGGTGCCTCAGGGCATGTGCAGAGGCCTTTCCTGCCCCACAGCCAGGCAGATCACACCTGGGGAGAGGCCGGGTGCCTGACTCCCAGCCATGTGGTGCCCTTCTCTCCTCCAAATGATGGGGGAAGCAGCAGGTGCCCCCTGGCCCTGCAGGGAGGGTATTCGCAGAGCTCAGTGGCACCCAGGCCAGGCTGGCCAGCAGGAGGGACGTGGGGGCTGCTTTGAGCCCGGTCCCTCTGTGCCCGCCTGGCCAGCTCTCCTGCTTTTGGCAGGCAGAGGTCTCTCCCTGACCAGACAGGGGTGGACCAGGGCCTTCCCTCCGGCCAGGACTGTGCAAATTCGGCTCCCCATGCCAAGGCGGCAGACTTGGGGGGGGGGGGCAGGACACGCATGTATCTGCAGGGGACTGAGACCTTGGGGGGGTCTTCTCTCCTGGAGAGCCCCCCGTGCTGGCATGAGACAGCCCACATGCTTCTCCAGCCACATCTGCCCGCCCCACTAGCCCCACAGACCCTGGGAGTGCCGGAGGGGCCGTGCCAGTCCCTCCCCTTTTCCTCGGTGGCCGCTGAGACTCTCCCCACACAACACACGCACGGGCCCATGTTTTCCGAGTACGAAAAGGGCTCCTCTTGCTGCAAAATCCTCTCTTCCCCCCCCCGCCCCCCCCCCAGCAACTTCCTTCAGGGAACGGAGCACAATTGGCTTTGAGATAACGGCATTATTTGGGCCATCCGGGAGGCCGGTTGCCACGCATGGGCAAGTGGCACACGTCTGTGCCGCTGGACGCCGCCCCTCCAGGTAGGCCGTGCCCCACAGAGCGCAACCAGGCGGCCCCGAGCGCCGGTAGGAACACCGGGCTCCCCCCCTTCCTGCCCCGTCCAGCAGCGCCTGATCTCCCCAGCCCTGCACACCCTTGCAAAGCGGTACCGAGCTGCCTGCAAGCACGGCCTTTCCGTAGGATTAGGGGCTAACCCTCGGCGAGCTTGACTTCCTTGCCGCGGACAACGAAGCGAATGGGAGCCAAAAGCAGTCTTGGCCCAGCTCCCGCAGGACCAGGCAGGCCGGAGCGTCACAACTTGGCAGCCGCCCCACATCTCCAGGGCCCCAACGCGGCAACCTTGCTATTCCCGCCACCGGGACACAAGAATGAGCTGCGCCCTTCCTGCAACCGCAGGCATCTGATGGCAAACGGGAAGCTTGCCCGCATCATCCCGATGTTCGCCCGTCCAGGTCCCGCACAGAGCTCTGCTCCCCAGGTCCGGGCAAGGGCTGCTCGGCCCCCTAAGTTGCCTGGGGTGAGCCTGGAGCTGTGCTTGCGCCGGTTCCCGATCCGGTGGGAGCAGGAAAAATGCTACTAATCAGGGTGGCGCACTATCCACTGACACCGCGCGAGCGGGCAGCATGGGAAGGGGTGTGCCGGCACCCCTCATGCTCCGAGGGGGCCCTGGGGGGCTGCTGCCCCGGCCCCCAGGCATATCCACGATCGAGAATGCAGCGGCTTTACTGTGGGGCCGTTCCTGGAGCCTGCGGTCCTTCTCCCACCCAGAGGGGTGCACCACAGGAAGGCTGGGCTCCCGCTTCTGGGCCAGCTTCCCCTGGGTCTGGCCCCGGCTCCAGAATGCCAGCTGCCCCCCACTCAGGACCGGCTACCCCCCCTCGTGGGCCCGGGCCCAGCTCACCCCCAGCCCCTTCCAAGAAGCAGACGCAAACACGGTCGGTCCCTTGCATTGCTCTTTATTGGACAAAGCAGCGAGAAGCTGGGAGAAGGCTGGTCTGGGGCTCCCGGCCTGCAGCTCCCTCCTCCGTCACGACCTGCCAAGGGCTCGGTGCCTAACGAAGGCCAGAGATAAATAGATCAGGGTGGGCTGGCAGTGCTTGTCTAGGGGCACCCTGAGCAGAGGGAAGGGGCGGCCGCCGGGGTCGGGGCGCCGTTCCTCTAGGGCTGCTGCTTCTGCTGCGGCAAAACATTCAGCAGCTCCCAGGTCTTATCCAGGGCTGAATCCAGCAGCTCGGCAGCCTTCCTGCCAGGCTCCTGCAGGACTTGGGGGAGCTTCACCTGCAGGTTGCGGAGCTGCTGCTTGACCTCTCCGGGCAGCGCCTGGTGCTCCTCCAGCCACTGCCGCAGCCCCTGCAGAGCCGGGTGGCTGTGGGCGTTGCTCAGGTGCTGCTGGGCGCGCTGCTTCAGGGCATCCGCATGCCGCTGGGCCTCGCTCTGCAGCCAGGTCCTCAGCGGCTCCAGGTGCTCCTGGGCCTTCCGGGCCTCATCCTCCAGCTTCGCCTTCCAAACCTCGGTCACCTCCAGGAGCAGCCGCTTCATCTCTTCCGCGCTCTGCCTGACCTCCGGGTGCAGTGCGGCCAGGACGGCCTGCAGCTGGCTGAGAGGAAGGGGCAGGGTTGGGGCCGGGCGGGCAAGGGGCAACCGCAGAGCTGCCCGGCCCCCCCGCTGCAGCCCTCGGAAGGAGCCCGCTGCCTGGCACTGCCCGTTCTCCTGGAGAGGGGGGCTGCCTTGTGCCACTGGTCCCGCACCCGAGTGGCTACAGCTCGTGAGGGCGCCCTCGAGGGACGGGGGTCCCACAGCCCCTGACCCTGCCGCAGGCGGAGCCCGAGGCCGAAGCGTGGCCTCCAGAGGATGGGGGCCCGGGCACAGGTCACCCCCAAAGTGGAAGCGGGCAGCTGTGCCGCCCTTCCCCCAGGGCACTACTCACTCCGATTTCAGGTCTTTGATGAAGGTCTCGGCCTCAGCAACCATTCTAGTCCATTTGCTCAGAGGAGGCTCTGGCACCGGGGGCTGGTCGTGTTGCCCGAAGTGGCGAGCCTGGGCTCCTGCAGAGGCCGTGTGAGCCAGGTCAGGGCCGGGGCTCTCCCAGCCCGGGGCAACTGCCGCCATGGGAGACCAAGCCGTTGCCAGGGCGGGCGAGGGGCCAGGCCTTCTTCCCAGACAGACCCCCTCGCTCACAGGCTGGGTGGCCTCCCCTCCCTCCGGCACTCTCGGGGGCAAACCTCCCCCCTGTCCCCCGGCCCCTCCAGCCCTCCTTCCTCAGTTCCTCCCAGGAGTCCCCCCGGCCCAGGCTCCCTCTTTCCAGCAGGGGCACAGGCGGAGGACTCCTGCAGCCCCGGGGCTCCCCCGCCGCGGCACCAGCTCACCTGTGAGGAACACCAAGGTGAGCATTGCTGTGACGGCTCTCATCTTGCGTCCCGCTCCAACCTGCAGAACACGAGAAGTGGAGGAAAAGGCCTGCCATGTGTAAAGCGAGTCTGGCAGGAGAGCGGTCCTCTCGGCGCTTCTCCCCAGCTCTGCTCAGGCCAGCAGGAATGGGAGGGAGGGAGGGAGGGAGGGAGGGAGGATCTGGAGGCAGCGAGGAAGCAGCAGCCCCGCAAGAGGCACACGAAGCCCACCCAGCTCACGGGCAGCAGGGAGTGGCGGGCCCACATCTCCCAGGCTTCGGAGGTCCAGGTGGCTGATGCAAGGAGCAGAGTGGGGCTGGACGGATGGCAGCCCCCCTCCGGGACCAAGGCAGCAGCCAGAAAGCCTCTCCCCAGCCCCTGCTCCTCGGGAGAGCCCCAGGCTTCAATGCTACAGCTGCCCCCTCTCCAGGGACACACAGGTCCCACCACCATCATCCAGGCAGCTGAAGCAACTGTGGGGGGGGGGGGCTTTCTCAACAAGACCAGCAAAACCCCTACAGTAGTTGGGGGAGGAGGGAGAGAGGGGCCCCGGGTCCCCAAGGGCAGCCCGGAGGGGCCCGGCCTCTTACCAGTTCCTTCGGCATCTGCGGCGCTGTTTGCTGCACGGCTCCTGGTCACAACTATTTATACTGCAGCCAGTTGTTTATCACTGGAGACAAGTTGAAGCCGTAAACAGGGAATTCACTCCCTAGCCATGAGTATGTGGCAGCTGAGTTCAAGGATCAAGCACACATCCGCAGAGACGGGGGCAGAGGAAGAACACGCATGCTCACGCCGCAGCGGAGGGCAGTCGGCTGGCGCAGACACGGCAGCCCGGCTCGGCCAGGGCCGGCCTCCTGCCCCCGACTTGCACTGGGGGCAGAGCTGGGGCCCCTCGGCTTGTCTGGACCGCAGCCCAGGAAGGAGCCTTGCAAGACGCTTGCAGCCCCCCGAAGGCTCGAGGGACACTGCCGCCGGTGTGCGCGGCTCTCTCCCAAACAGCTCCTTCCCCGACCCGAAGCCTCCCAGCATGAACCAGACGCCCGGGAGCTGGCCTGGATGTGTGGGGCGAAGCCAGCAGGCACAGGGCCAGCCCGGCAGGTTGCTGGCAGCCCGGCACTGCTCCCGCCGGGCCGGCCCTGCCTCGGGGCCTCCTGCATGGCCCACGTGTGCCCCACACCAGCCCCCTCCGCCTCTCCCGAGAGACCGGTGGCCTCCAGGCCAAGCGTGACTCAGGCTCCCAGCACAGCACCACTACTCTATTTATTTCCTCATCTCAGCGTTTATCGGCCGCCACAATCACCACATGGCTCTCTGGAGGGCAGACCACACCACGGGCTCGCAGTGTTTCCATCTTTTCTTCCTTAATAAATTGCTTTTGCCCCCACCCGCAAAAGGCAGTGAAGCGGTAGGAAAACACAGGAGACCTACAGGTGGGAAAGGGGAGTGTCTGCAAACCCACCCCCACACCCTTGGTAAAAGCCCATGAACTGCCCCGAAAAGGGTCTGTCGGGAAGCACCCCAAGGCGGGAAAGGAGGCCTGGTCTGTCCTGCTGGCCTGGCTCCGAGGATCACGTGCTTCTGCATAAGGCCCCCGGCCGTTTAAAAAGCGGGGAGCAGAGCAAGAAGCATTCTTGGCTTGCCAACCTCCCCATAAGCCAGGTTTTTTGGGGGGGATTTTTCTATATGAGAACATGCCATGATGTCATTCCCCCAGCCTGAAGCGGTACAGCCCGACACCACAGGAGTCCTCTCTGGGAAACCAAGGCTTGTGGCCCAAGGCTTTGGGCAGTCCTGGAAAGAGCTGCTGGGCCTGTTGCCAAAGGAAGCCTTCTTGGTCAGCAGGTCGCGGCGCTCGGCTCCAGGCGAGGACCTCAGGAGGAGGGTGCCGCAGGAGGATGCGCGCCAGCCACAGAAGCCTGCGCCACCGTTCCCCAAATGCTGCCCTGGCTGGGGGACCCCCAGCTCGGTTTCCCCCCAGCGGCTCTCAAGGGCGAGGAACGTGTTTTCGTGCTTTGGCGAGGCTGTCTGCCATCCCGGGGGGGCCGGGCAAGCACAGTGCGAGGCTGCCTTCTCGAAGGGCCCGGCTCCCCCGGGTCTGCTCTCCACAAGGAGCGGCCCGCCCTGTGCTTGGCGCACCAGGGTGCTCAGTGGCCACATGTGCTGCCGGTCAGGAGGACTGCCTGTCCCAGGCGCTACCTCGGTTGCTGTTCGTGGCATGCTGAGGAACGTGGGCTCTGGCGAGAGGGTGCCGAGGGCCCGCTCAGGCAGAGCCCTTCCCCTAAGAGCCTGGAGACGTGGGCTGCTGAACCCCAGGCGCCCGACTCCAGCGAGCCTCACGAGGCTGCCATGGAGAGCCGACTGCCCAGGAGCAGGAGCTGTCCTGCTCAGGCCAGCGGCCGGCCCCCGAGTCTTCTCTCGCTGCAGAAAGGGGACTCTTTCTGCACGAGGCCCGTGGCTGCTCCACAAGCCTCTGAAAGCCCGACAGAGCTTGCCAGGGGAACTGACGGAGGGAAGGCCACAGGGTGCTGGAGCAGCCACCTGCCAAAACAGCACGAGACCAGAGCTGCCAGCCAGTCATAATCATGGGTTTATTTGTCTTGATCCCACATCAAACTAAGCAGATCACCACCCCCCAAAACTGGACGAAGTATTTACTGAGAGTTTGGGGAGGTTTTGTATGTGGGTTCGTTTTTTTCAGTCCAACATAAATGAGGAAAAACACTTTGGACATTTCCCAAAAACAGAAAGAAAAGCAAAGTATATTATACATTCAACAGATACTGCACGTATTGATTACTACAATACAAAGCAATGATTAAAAGAACAAACCCCCCACAAAAAGCAGCAGCATGGTACTGCCAAAGAGCGCGGCCAGGCAAGTCCCGGTGCGGCCTGGCCAGACGGCGCTGGTGCCGGGTGGCCGCTGCTGACTCCCAGGGTCGTGTAAACAGAAGGAGAACCGAAGCCCAGAGCCAGGCTGAGGGGGGCCTGGCCTTCTACCCCCCACTCCTGGGATGGATACTCGCTTCCCCGATGGTGCTGCGGGCCAATGCGGCACCCCGGACACCGGCCGGCCGGAGGAGGAAGCAGCTCCCGCGGCGCCGCCTGCGCCATCTCTGTCCAGGCGCCCAGAGGAAGCCACGGTGGAGGCGAGAATGAGGAGAAGGCAAGAGGAGGAGAAGCTTGGCCGTGCCGGCGTCACGCGGCTTCTGTGCAAATTCAGGAGGGCGGTGTGAATTCTTTTTCTCTTAAAAAAGTTTTCCAAAAAGAGTCAGTGAGAGGAATTCTCTGCAATGGCTTGTTCAAAAGTCCCCAAAGGCAGAAAAGACGACATGAGCTACTCCCTGAAGGCCCGGCCCCTGGATCAGCCACAGCAAACAGGCCTCTGCCCAGCGGGAGCACCGAGGCCCCTGCCGCATGCTGGGGAAGCGCCGATGCTGGGAGGAGCGGGGCGAGCGGCAGGGCAGGGCAGGGCAGGGCAGGGCAGAGAGAGGCAGCTTTTCTTTTCTTAACAATTAATTTATTAATAATAATAATATTAATATTAATAATAATAAAACATTTACCAAAACAAATTCCTACATGATCTGGAAGGAAGCAAGTTTAAAATAAGAAGCAGGTTTCTCAAGGTTAAACTTAAAAACAAACAAACAAACAAACCCTGGCAGCCGGATCCGGATGGAGATGTACAAAAAACGGAAGCGTCTCGAAGCACAGTGACAACATGTGGAAACAGAAAAGCCGAGAAATGGGAGACGCGCAGAAGCGGAACTGCAGCACTGCCGGGGCGGGGGGGGGGGGGGGCCCCGACCCCACACGGTGGGGGGCGAGCAGCGCATGGCAGGCAGGCACCGATCCGCCGAGCCCCTCTGCGAGCACGGCTCCCCTGCTGGCTCTGCCCCCCGGCCAGAGGGCTGCGACGCAGGGCAGGGCTGGAGCTGGCACTGCCCACAACACCTGCGGACCGCTTGCCGGGCGCATCCCTCCCCTCCTGCCCCAGCTCTCCGGACTGGGCCGGGCCTGGAGCACCCACCCCCGGCGGAAGGGGGCCCCCAAAGCCGCCGGAGCCCTTGGCCCGCCCGCGCAGCACCTCAACGAGGGGCCCTCTCCTTCTTCCAGAAGGCTGGAATCACAGGCAAATGTGGCAATAAGGAACGTCCAAGAGGAACAAGCACACTGCTGAACCGAGGAGGCGGTGGAGGCGGCGGCGGCGGGAGAGAAGCTGCCGCTGCCGCTGCAAGAGTCCAGTCAGGGAGAAACGCTACGGCTGTTTGGCGCAATGCTGCGAGATACTGTTGGTTTGAAATGGACCTTTTTGTTTCAAAGCTGTACATACCCCTGTTGGAACACAGCCAGAGATGGGGGGGGGGGTGAGAAGTCCCTTGCAAACCTGCAGCCCCAGCCGGCCTCTCGCCTGTGCTGAGCCCCTCTCCCCGACGGCACCGCCACCCCAGCGCGGAAGCCGGCCCGAGGGCCCAAGCCCACCAGCTCAGCGAGGCCGTTACGCCACGAAGCATGCCTGCCCCGGCCGGACTCCGGCAACACTTACTGTAGCCCGCCTGCCCGCTAGACCCCAGCCTGCTCCATCCCAAAGGGGACCTCTGGGTGCTTGTAACTCAGCAGGACGTCGGTGATACACGTGGACGGGTAGCAAGAGGCGCTCAAGTGCTGGCTGCTCTCTCCTAGGTTCAGGTGCTCCTGGCACTCCAGGCTCTCCCCGCAGTCTGCAAGGCCAAAGACGGGGGGGGGGGGGGGCATCCTGCAGTGGCGTGCGGCTCCAGGCGACCGCTGAGGAATTAGGAAATGGCCCTGCCTGCCAGGCACAGCCAGACGGGCACCTGAGGCCGCCCTGGGCAATGCGCCCGGGAAGCGGAAGGTGCGGCCTGCAAGGAGAGCATCCCACCTGCCCGCCGGAACACTCACCTTCCCGCTCCCCGTCAAGGAGCAGCTGGCTGCCCATGAGGGACGACTGGCTGAGCACCGCGTCAGACATGCGGGCAGAGCTGAGCGCCTTCCCTGCCATCAGGCTCATGCCGGGCAGCGTGTCCAGTTGCACCTGCAGATGAGGGGAGAGGGAAAGAGCAGCGCGCTGCGGGGAGTTGCTCCAGACCAGGTCGGGGCAAGCCGTGCGGCCAGTGGCCTTCCCCAGACACAGCTCCCCCCCGTCCCCGGCCAGCCCCGACATACGCAGGCATCGTCGCTGTTCTGGATGGTGTGGTGTCTCTGCAGGGGCCGGGATCTGTGGTGTGCGCCAGAGGTGGGTCGCGCAGAGTAGCCCCCCAGCCCGTCTGCCTCCGTCATCTCCACGTGTCCTGGGGAGCTCCTCTCCATGCCCCCCGAGGCCAGGGAATCTTTGCGGGAGGAGGAAGAGGGGGAAAGGAGGTCAGTCCCTCACAGGCCTGGCACACTCCCGAGGGATGGCGGGGGAAGCCAGGCATTCACTTTCGCACCCCCAGTCCGCTCTTCCTCCACATGTGATCACAGGCACACCTGTGGGCAGGTGCAGGGCAGACATCCCTTTCATCCCTCTGTGCAGGGGGCGGAGGACCAGCCCTGGCTCCCAGCGGTCACAAGCAGCCCACCATCCCACACAGGTGCAGGGTGCCTGACCATTTTGCAAACCATGGCGCAATCGAGAGACCGGCAGGAGGGACAGCCGCGGATCCCGGGGTGGGACTAGACCGCCCGACAGCCCCAGCAGCTCAGAAGACCCCCGATGCCCCCGCCCGGTGCCCTCTGCGCCCACGACTGCCAGCCTCTGCTGATGCAATGGCACCTGCGGGGGACCCCCGGAAGACCTCTGCCCAGGCCAAGCACACCGCCCATGGGCCGGGCCTCTTCCCTTCGCTCTGGCCGCCAGAGCATCTCCTCCTTCCACAGGCCTGCCTGCCTGCCTGCACTTTCTGGCCGTGCAGCTCAAGGGCGCTCTGAAGGCCAGCCGTGGCCAAATCGGGCGTGCCTGAGGCAGTGCTTCCTACCAGGGCCAGGCTGCCTTCGCGGCCTCACAAGCACACCCCAGCTGCCCCACCGCCCCTTCAGCAAGAACTGGAGTGCCTTCCCCTGCTCTGCTTAGCTGGCAGAAGCAGACAGGCTGTCAGGCAATCACAGGACTTCACTTAGAAGCATCTGTTGGAAGGAAAATGTTCTTTGTAACACCAGTTCCGACAGCACTAACCCTCTTCCTCTTTGACACGCACAGAAACGTGAAGAACAGAATGGAACTCAGTCTTGTAAAATCAAGGGCCTTCCTTCAGTCAAAAAAGCACAACCGCCACCCACCATCCTTTTAAATTAAATGATAATTTGGATGTTTGTTACACTCAAGAAAGGCGCAAGCTGTGTATTTGTTTGCGAAGGAAGTTACACCGGGGAGAATCAGCAGGTGAATGTTCAACAGGCACCACAGCTAGCAAAAAAACAGCTACAACCCCTGTGCCGGAAAGTTCCAGCCCATCCTGAGGGCTGGTCCTTGGGGGTGTGTTGGGGAAAACCATCTGGCTAGTTTAGGGCTCCAGGGCCCTGGCCATGCTCTCTGGACCATATTCTCATACGCTCAGCTGAAAACCGGGGCTGAAAGCTTCTGGAATCCAGAAGAGCAAGCAGGGAAGGGAGCAACACCCCCCACCTCTCCCTGCCCCCAGTCCTGTAGCTGCAGCGTCAGTCAGCAGATGCTTAACTTTCCCGGAAAAGCAAACAGAAGCCACTGCTCTGGACAGAAGAGGGCAAAGACGATCAGTGAGGCCCCGCTGGCCCCCGATCGCCAAGGCTTCAGGCAGCCCTTTCCAGGCCCTACCCGACAGGGGACCTTCTGCACTCGGGTGCCTGCCTGGTCCCACGGGCCGGGTTCCGCCCACCACGGCTCCGAGCAGATGAGACTCTCCTGGGCCACTGACCCCAACAGCCCGGCATGGCACCGCGGAATCTCCCTCCAGCTACACCAGCACGACCGCGGGGCCCGGGGGGGGGGCAGGACCAAGGACCCTCACGGGGCAGCAAGCAGGGAGCTGCCTGACTGTCGACTCGCATGCGCCCTTCATGGCCCAGCCAGTTCTGATCGGGCTCCTCACAGAGGGCTCTGCAGTCTTTTTACCTTGCTTAATAGACCAGTCTTTTTCCTTCCATTTTCTGCACGGGAAAAACTAAGACTGAGAGGGAGCCATGGCAAGTCCCAGAAGCCCTGCCGGCTCCCAGCATGACTGGGCCGCGAGAGCACAACTGCCTGGGTGAGCCCTGGCCCTGCTGGGCAGCCCTGCCGGCCGGAAGAGCCGGGAGGCGGAAACGAGCGAGCCCACCCGGCCAGCCTCTCGTGTTCCGCCGCGGCTGACCAGGCGCCTCCCGGAAGCTGCAGGCCGGGCAAGGAGGCTCGGCTCCCTGGCCGCCGGGGCTCAGAGGAGCCCATGCCACCATGACGGCGAGCCGCTTCTGCAAGCCCTCTCCTCCGTCATGGAGGCGCCCCCTCCGAGCTGAGCCCTCCAGGCCAGCAGCCCACGTCATCCTGGATGGCCGCGTCCCACGCGAGTGCTACACGCTGCCGCGTCGAGCCGCCGCCTGCCCCGCACGGCCCGCTGGCCCACAACTGCAGTGCCCCCGTCCTGCACCGGGGAGGCCCGCCCCACTGCTCCAGGCCCCCGCATCCGTCCACTCCGGAACCACGGCCCCCAGGCCAACTCAGGCCTGCCGGGGCACCCGGCTCGGCAGCGCAAGCCTTACCTCGACAGGGCGGCTCGGGGTGCGGGAAGGCGGCAGCAGGCTGGTGGCGGTACGGGTGTCCCCCCGGGCGCGGCTCGTGCTTAGCGGCCCCAAACACCGAGTCCAGCTCCCCGGGCCCACCTGCACGCAGGAGCAGCTGCGCCTCCTGGCCCCCCTGGGCCTTGCCGCCCGCCACGCTGTCCCGGCCCGCCTCGCACGCACAGTCCGCCTCCTCCTCCATGCTCTCCGAATGAACCAGGGCGGGCTGGTGGGGAAAGCCATGTGCAGGCACAGAGGCTGGGCCCGGCGGGATACATTCGTGCGCCCTCACTTTGAGGAGGTGCTGGGGGCTGGAGTGGGGGTGTGGCGGATGGGGGTGGTAGGTCTCCGTGTTCTGGTAAGGCAAAGGTAGCGACTGGCGCTCCGAAAGTTTCTGGGCCATGCTGGTGACCACGGGTCCCGTCTCCCCTTGGCTCATGTGCCGGATCAGCTCCTGAAGCTCCTGCTGCTGCTGCTGCTGCTGCTGCTGCTGCTGCTGCTGCCGGCGCTTGATGAGCTGGGCGACCTCGACCTGCGGCATGCGCAGCTCCGCGTGGCCGGCGAGCGAGTGCCGGGGCGAGAGCAGGCCCTGCAGGATGGGCGGGACTTGCTGGTGCCGGCTGTAGTCTGGCGGGGTGGGGGAGAGCAGCGCCTGCTGGAGGGCTGATGTGGTGTAGGGGGGCTGCTGCTGCTGCTGCTGCGGCGGCGGCGGGCTCTGGGGGAAGGTGGCGAACGGCTCCATCTGCGGGACCTTCAGGGCCTGTGCTGCGGAGAAGCCCACTGCCGCGGCCGGGCCGTAGCTGCCGGGAGAGACCCGCACCTGGTCGGGAAACAGGTGTGGGCGCAAGTGCGCCTGGTCGTAGGCGGCGGGTGGGTACCTGTGTGGACGCAGAAGGGGGAGGCGGCTGAGGAGGCGGCCCGAGGTGGGCCAAGCAGGGCTGCGTGGGCTGCCCTCAGGCAGTGCGGGGCAGCCCCAGAGACGGCCAGCCCTGGGCGCGGGCAGAGGAAGGATGCGGCCAGAGGGAGCCTCCGCCCGGGCCTTGCTGCGCCATCGAAAGCCATTCCAGCCCAGGCTCGCTCCAGGAAATGTGTCTCCAGGAGAGACACGGGACACGCGGGGGGCGTGGCGTGGCGTGGCGGGCACCCCCCGCTCCGCGCGGCAGGTCCAGCAGGTGCTTGGTCCAGCCGGCCGGGCCCACGGGGGTTCAGCCCTACCTGTGGGACTCCGCACTGTCCGCGCTGAGCTGCTTGGAGAGCGGTCGGTGCCCGTAGGTCAGGGAGGCCATCAGGCTGGCGCGGTGGTGCATCTGCAGCTGGCTGGCGCTGGGCGCGATGGGCACGGCCCGCCCGGCCTGCAGGAGACTGCTGCCCATGGCCTCCCCGGGCTCCTGCACCTGCCCCGGCACGCGCTGCTGGGCGCCCAGGCGGGGCAGGGCCAGGTTGGGGGGCGGAGAGCAGCTGCCTGACCGAGGGAAGATGGTGCCAGCGGGCGGCGGCGGCATCCCTTGGAATGGCGGCTGGGGCGCAGCACCTGCAGGGGGCAGATTTCAGGCTGTGCCCCAGCGTGCTCGGGCCTGCAGCCTCCAGCCTGCCCCCGACGGGCCACGGGAGTCATGCACTGCCATTCCTGCACTATGCCGGAAAGCCCCGGTGACTCCCCAGCAGCTCTGCACCTCCTGAAGCGGAGGAATCCGCACGGTGGACCTCCCCGAGGAGGGGGTGCAGTGGCCCGGGGGCTAAAGTCAAGGAGCGCCCCCGGCACGGCCTGGCGGCACTCACCGTGTCCCTGGAGGATCACGCTGCCGCTGACCGGAGGGGGGCTGCTGTCCGTCTGCCTGAAAAGGTGGTTGCTGGGGTGGTTGGGGGGAGGGCTGGAGGGCTGGATCCGTAACCTGCACAGGCACACACAAACAGCAGCGGGGCTTTCGCACAGCTCGCCCTTGGAGGAAGCCAGGGCACGGTCTGGAGAGAGAGACGGCGGCCTCGCCGGGGCACTTCTGGGGCGGGCCTGAGCACAGCAGCCTCCGCAAGCACGCACCCACAACCGGGGGGGCTGGGGGCCCCTGCCGGCCACACGCCCACAGAGAAACACTGCCGGCCACCTGGCCCGGGCACCCCGGTGCAGGAAGCCGAGGCCCGAGAGCGAGGATGCTGCAGAAGCAGCAGCAGGGAAGCGCCTGGGCAAGCAGTGGCAGCCCTTCCGTATTCCGGGCATTCCCCTGGTGGCCTGCCCGCAGGGACACACACGGCTCCATCCCAAGTTTTACAGCCCAGCATGAAAAGGTTTGTGCCTTAAATGCAGTCACGGAACATCCAACTTCTAACTTGCTGTACTTTGAAATTCCTTATAATATAGGAATAGCTACATCTGTGAAAAAGCTTTCCGGTTACTTATAATCAATATCAAATTTGACTCGCATTTAGTAAATGAGGCCCTTTTTTCTCTTTCTTGTCACCTTTGCAGAGGTGAGATTTTTCTGCAAGGGTGGGCACAGCGGCTTGACCGCAGGCCTCCCTCGGACTGTCTTGCTTGGGCAAGCAGGCAGACTCGCCAGCCACCCTTGGGTGGCCACACGGCACGGGTCCTCCTGGCTTGAGCGCTGCCCCTGTGGGGAGGCAGCCCTTCTTGGGACCTCCCCCCACCCCCCACTGCTAGGTCGGCTCCTGCCAGGGTGGAGAAGCATTTCCAGCCCTTCAGGATGAGCCTGCTCTCCCAGCCGGCCGACTGCATCCTGACCTGGCTGCACGGGAGGGACTGTCCAGCTTCTTCCCCTCCACCAGCCCAGCCTGCCTGTTTTTGCAGCTTGCTAAATGGGGGCTGCACCACCGACGTGAGTTACAGGCTGAGGGGCCCTCTTTAGACGCCCTGGGCCGTAAGCGGAGGGGCTGGCGCATGGAGCATGGGGAGGGCGGAGGAGCGGGCGAGGCAGCCCTCTACTCACCTCTGCAGCTGGTGTGTGAGCAGTGCAGGCTGGTTCTCGCCAGGAGCTTGCAGGGGCGGAGAGGGCTGAGGAGGGCGGACGCAATCCTGAGCACGGCACGGGAGGGACAGAGGAAGCAGGAGATCACTGGGGTGCGCCAGCATGCGGAGCGCCCTCTCAGCAGGGCGCAGTGTGGGAAGGCTGTGTCCCACAGGCGCCCTCCGGGGCAGCCTCCCGGCCCCGAAGGGACTCCTGACGCTCCCGCGGCCTCTCAGAAGGCGCCTTGAGGAGGAGAGGGCTGAGGGAGGGCAGGGTGGCTGGCCGTAGCCTGGGCTGCCTGGTGCATGGCACTCCTCTGCAGGGGGGGCCGTTCCTGCACCGGCTGGCTCCCCCCGCCCCCACCCCACAATGACACTGGGGCCCTGCAGAGTGGGGAATGAGGCAGGGAGAGCTCTGGGCAGAAGAGCTGCTCTGCCCGCTGGAACATCGCCTGCACAGCTGGACGGCCCACAGAGGCCCCCGGGCCACCCGGACACGCGGGGCACCCACCCCTGGAGCCACAGCCCGGGCGAGGGGCAGGGCGACAGCCTCCGCTGGCTGCCCGTACCTGGATCTGCTGCTGGAGGATCTGGTGCTGCTCCTGCTGGTACAGAACGTGCTGCTGCTGCGTCTTCTCCAGGGTCCTCTCGTCCACGTGCCCCCCGTACATCTTCTGGAGCTGCTCGCACTCCTGAAACATGCCCCCGCCCCCGTGAGCTCCCAGGGCTGCCTGGCTCTGGTGAGCCGGAGAGGCTCCAGCAGGGGGACGGCTGCAGGCTCCCTCGGCCTCGAGGAGAGGCCCACCCCACCCCACCGAGGGCCCCGTGGCCGTTCCGCAGCGCCTCGGGAGTCCACCGCTGCGGCGGGCACGGCAGGCTGTGCCTTCTCCCAGAAAGCCAAGCCGGGGGCCCGGGCGGCGTCCAGGCTGCTTCCCAATGGGGCTGTCCGGGCACAGCCAGGCCAGCGGTGCCACGCAGCTGTTTGGCCTTTCCCTTCCGGGTGGCCTTTCTTGCACAGGGAAGGAGGACACATTGGCGGGGTGCACAAAGCACACACAGAAGGCTGTGTCATCGCCCACCCCTGCAAAATCTGCGAACGAGGCAGGATGACAGCACCAGCACAGCCCGACTGTGCCGGCCGGCCGGCCGGCCCTTGCCACCCACTCCTCTACCTGCTGCAGCTGCTTGATGCTGCTGTGGTTGCCCATCCGCTCCAGCTGGGCCTTGAACGCCTGGATGCTGGCAGCCCCGTCCGAGAAGCGGCGCACCGGCGAGAAGCGCTCCGTGGGGAGGTGCAGCGTGTTGGAGTCCTTATAGATGTGGCTGTGTGCACACAAAGGGGCGGGTCAGGGGCGTGGGGGCAGCCGAGGCTCGTCCACAGCGGCCTCCTGCCCACCCCCAAGCAGGCCGAGGAGTCAGCCGTTTGGCACACACGCCGTTCGGCAGGGGACTCTGCCAGCCTCCCTGACATACGAGGCCGGCACTCTTTTCAGGCCAGCCTTCCTGGGGCGCCTCTGACCCCAGAAGCAGAAACGAGCAGAGCTGCTCCAGCGCGCGGCTGCTCCTGAGTCACACGCTCTGCCGACGCCTCCAGCCTCCGGTCCCCGGGCGTCAGCCTCCAGGGCCCCCCGTGCCACCCTGGATAAATACAGGAAGTCAGTCCAGAGAGACAGGGGAGCCGGCCTGCCATTCTCGCCTCCGCGGTGGCACCTGGGAGCCGGGGCCCTGCAGAAGTCTTGGACTGCAACCTCTTCAGCCCTGCCCTGCCCTGCCCTGCCCTGCCCTGCCCAGCACAGGCAAAGGGGAGGGAGGATGCGAGCTACCGTCCATCAACACCGGAAGGGCTGCACATTCCCTAACCTGGGAACACGGTGAGGCTCCAAATCCAGGGAAACAAAGGCTGGAAAGGATTCCAAACTCCTTTGGGCCAGCCGTAAGGCCTCTGGGTGGCTTGCCAGCCCTGGCCCCAGGAGGACTGCCATCCCAACTGGGATGCAGGAGTGGGGCCACACCGTCTCGGCCCCCAGGGGCACCGGCAGAGTGCAGCCCATCTTCTGGCCACCCCTGGAGTCCGTGCACGCAGTATTAAATCAGAGCGGCCTGGCGTGGCAGGAGGGGGGTCGTGCTCAGGTGTGGCTGGCTCCTGAAGGCAGCCTGACCACGTCCGTCCGTCGCTTTACAGAATCACATGCTCTGGGAAAGCAGGATGCCGGGGACAACGCAGCTGGAGGGAGCAGAACCGCCGGCGCTCTCGTGCCGTTGCAGCCCCACCACCCTTCAGCTGGCCAGTCCCTGTTCCCTGCACACTGCTCTTCCGCTTGCAGGCCGTGGGCGAGACAAGAACATGCTAGTTGGGGGGGGGGGTGCCAGCTGCAGGCCTAGGACACGGGCAGCTGCTCCCCAACTCCAGCACGGAAGCAGATGGGCCAGCCATGGAACGCCCTCCCCTCCATGCTCCGCACTTCTGGCCCGGTTCCCAGTGCCACATCCACCGCTGGAGAGGCCTGGAAGATCGGTTTCCACGCGGGCCACCCCCATGCCGAGAAGTCCTGCTGCGCTGGCTTTTGTCCACATCTGAGGAAGCACCTAGCAGGCCTGGCTCAGCTGCAGGCCGTGCGGACCAAGAGGGGGTGTCTAAGGATGCCCCCTCCCTCAATCGGCACCGCCCTGCCCATCTTCAGACCGCAGCACTGCAGAAGATGGGAAATCGCGGCAGGGTGGAGCCAGCGGGCGCTTGCTTCGGAGATGAGCAGAGCCAGGCGAGCCCGGCCCAGCCTCCGCAGCCCCCCGCACGTCCCGTCTGCGGTTCTCCACTGGGCCACTGGCAGGCCTCGGAATGCTGGCCTGGGCAGGCGCTTGCTTTGACTCGGCAGGGCCTGCCCGACATCCTTAGCCACACCGGACCGGAACAACTCAGGCCCCATTCCCAGCACGTGAAGTGGCCGTTCCCCTCGCCCCTGGCCAGGAGATGGAGCTCAGCGGTCTACAAAAGCCACGGGGCAGTCCTGGTCCAGACGCAGCCCGGGAAGCTCCTGCTCGGCACTGCCCCCCGTGCCAGCGTCTGGGAGCCAGACAAGGCGTGATGCCGCAAAAGCCACTCCTGAGGCCCAAAAGTTGCTCCACTGAGCACGCCGCTCCTTTGCCGGATGGGAGGGCTGGACGAAGCGCAAGGCGGCCGCCGTCATCCTCAGACTCGCGCTCCCCGCTGGTCTCCCCAGCCGCCCCCGAGAGATGCACAGCCGCATACGGGCCACTTTCCTCTGTGCCAAGCGACTCGGGACAGGGCGGTCTTTTGTGTTTCATGCTTCATGCATCTTAATGATTATAAATGCATTCACGGAAAAGTTTTGCTTAGAATTTGTTTGCCGATGTACATTTTATACACATACTGAGGCGCAGTATGTTGCATCCATTAGAAAGCCCTTGAGGAAGGCGGTGTTCTCCGCAACCGTGGCAAGCTGGCACCAAGTAAGTTGGAAGCTGTGTTACCTTCCATCCCATCTGTTGTCTTTTGGCTTCAAGGAAGCATTCGTGTTCCTGGAATTCCGTGCCGTCCACAGTGGGGCCCAGGCAGTGACTTACTGGTGAAGATTCGGGACATGGAACAAGAGGCGTCTGTGCACCAGCAAGGGGGGAACAAAATGCCCAGGCCCAAAGCGAGCTGCAGGAGCTGCAGGGGCCAGGAGGTAGTGCTCTGGGCTTGGCTGTTGCCCAGGTGGCCTGAGCCGATGGAGAGGGCCAGAGCGGCCCCCGTGCCAGAGGAAGAAGACACCCGTGCCGAGGAGGCTCCGCACGGCCAGTGCGCAGGCAGCGGCAGCGCAGGCCTCGGGACTACCTGTGCCAAAGCCTACCCTCCCTGCAGCCCGAGGCGCCTTCCAAAGCCACACACAGGTCTGCTCCAGGCCTTCACCGGGGTGGTGCCCCTTATCTTAGGCTCGCTCAGGCTCCAGCATGGCACCCACAGCTGCAGTGGGCTCAGAGCTCAACCTGTCTGGCTGGTGATGCAGCTCTCCGAGGAGTTTCAGAGCAGACTGGCAAGCGCCATCGAGATGAGCCGGCGAAGAGGGTCCAGCAGGGGCCTGCCCTTACACCAGGAAGTGCGGCAGCGGCGGAGGGGGGGGGGAGAAATGCCACCGCTGCCCCCGGCCTCCTTTGGCTGGGGGCCCTCAAGCGCCCCCGGCCAAGCGTGCCCAGACGCTCGGGGCTCCCTGCATCCCTGCCACAGGCCCGGTCTGCGCTCCTGCCCCAGCGGCCTCTGCCCGCCCCCAGCAATGCTTGCCCGAGGAAGCTCTGAGGGCAAACACAGTTCTGATGTGGACACTGGGACACCGCTGCTGACACGAAGCTGCTCCCGAGGCACTCCTCTGCGGCTTGTTATCGTGAGGGAACGGACATGGCTCCACAAACACAGAACGTCAGGGTGATCTGGCCACCTCCTGTCCCCGGCCGCCTGAGGGATGCTGTGCAAAGGCCACTTCAGCGCTAGCCGGCCCGCTCACACGGACAGGAAAGCCGCCTGCCGCCCCCACGGGACTCTCTCCGGCCCTTGGGGCGGACCGGGGCGGATGGAATGGAGGGACCGTGTTCCCCCGTAAGCCGCGGGGACAGGCAGGTCCCTCCCTGGGTGGAATTCCTGCTTCCCGACCGGCTGGCAAAGCCTCCCAGCCCCATGGCCGCAGGCGCCTGCTGCCCAGTGCCCTCCGGTCTGGGGCTGCAGGGAGGCAGGGAGCCGCGTGGGCTGGGGGACAGGGCAGGTCTGCAAGGCTGCAGGTGTCCAGGCTGAACACCTCTCCCTAGCTGGGCAGGGGCTCTCTGCCCTCCGGTGCTGCCCGAGCGGCCGGTGCCACTACTCACCGGTGCTGGTCGGGTGCCAGGTGTGCTGCCCGGGAGCGGAAGGGCTGCTGTCCTAGCTGCCTCTGCAAGTCGGGCGGGATTTCCGTGGTGGGGCTGGTCATGGCCAGCGTGTGCCTTTTGGACCTATTGGCCAAGTATCTGCAACAAGCAGGAGCACATCTGGTGAGAGGGAGAGGCGGTGGGGAGGGTGGGCCTGGGGCGCTCCGAGGAGCCCCGCTGCCCAGCTCCCTCAGAAGAGCCTCTTCGTGGCAGAAGGGGTGGGAGGAGGGAGAGGAAGGAAGGACGGAAGGACAGAAGGAAGGAAGGACGGAAGGAAGGAGACAGGGAGGGAGGGAGGGGAGGAAGAGCGGTCCTTGTGGATTCAGGACAGCTCTGGCGAAACAGGAGCACCAGCCGACAGAGAATCCAAGCAAAGCCGGGGAGTTAAGAGCAGGCCCACCCAAAGGGTTGCAGCAGCTGCCAGGAGGAGGGCACGGGAATGGGGGCTTCCTAGGGGCTGATCCTGGGCCCCGAAAGCTCTTGACCAACCTTCAGGGAGCAGAACAGGCTGGAGCAGAAAGCCCAAGTGCACCAAGGAGCCCGTTCTGATGTGCATCTCACACACCGGGACCAACAGGCACACGCCAGCCTGCCTCCAGAGGGACAATCCCCACAGCTCTGGGTTTCCCTCGAGGGAAGTGCTTCCTTCAGGCAGCCCTTACCAAAGTGGCTCTGGAAGAAAAGGCTTTCAGCCGGGGGTCCGCCTGCACTACGGTGAGACTCCTGCACCCAGGATCTCTGGCTACCTGCTCCCGTCACACGGGGGCCGCCCGGCCTCGGATCTCAGGCCCTGATGGTGACGGCCTGCGAGAGGAGCCGGCCGAATGGGAGCCTCTCTGGCTGGACCGACCGATGAGGCAGGATGCAGCAAGGGCCGGCTGGAAGAGCAGCTGGGGCCGCAGGACGGCTTCACTCTCCGCAGAGTAGGGCAGCCGTGGGGCTGGGAGCAGACTGTCCCAGGGCACCCCGGGCAAACTTTCTCCACTTCTCATCCTGCTGCTGGTACCGCTCGGCTCATTTCTCAAAGGCCAGCACTGCCTGGCCAGGGGGCCACTGTGCTCAGTCCACACTCTCTGTGGCCACTGGGAAGAGCAGCCATAGGAGCCGTGCGCCCCCTGCAGCCCCCCCACCCGATCGAGAGGGTGGAAGGCGCAGGCGGCCGAGGCCCACGCTGCCATCTCCAGCATGCCCTCGGGTGGGCCTGCCAACTTCCAGAAGCCTTGGCATTATCTCCACCATGTGCCACGGAGCGGCTTGGCCTGGCCTGCCAGGTCAGGAACCTCAAACAAGTGCAGGCGGGGGCGGGGGGGGGGCGGGAGGGGAGGGGAGGGGAGAGGAAAGGCGGGGGGGTCGTAGTGACCGCACGGTGTTCTGGACAGGGCAGCCATTCGTGTCCTGTTCTAGGGAGATCAATATTTGCAGCAGCCCTGGCTGCTGTTTGGGCAGCTGGCGCTACGATGTGATGTTGCATGTCAAGCGGCTGGCACACAGGAAGGCCAGCCATGTGCCGCTGGGGGCAGAGAGGGGGACCAGGCCAAGGCACGCGCCGCTTTCGGCCCGGAGGCAGGGAGCCCCGTGCACGGAAGCTGCTCCCTCCCGCCGCCTCTGCAGGGACTGGGGCCTGTGCTGCCAGGGGCCAGGGGCCTCCCTCAGGCAGGCGGCTCCTTCAGCCCAGCGGCCGGCCACTGCGCCCCCTTGGAAGGGGCGCCCGTGCCTGCAGTTGTCGCCACACACGCAGCAGCATCAGGGCGATGCCGCTGATCCTCGCCTGGCGGAAGGGAGGTCACGAAGACTGGGCGGCCGGGGTGGGGGCGCAGACTAGGAAAGGCCGCCAGGCCCCCCGACAGATGGCTGAGGAGAACCGGCCGGCCTTCCTTTGCCACCGTCCCCACGTTGCGCTTCTCCTCTGCCTGGCCTCTCACAGGAACCCCAGACGGCTTCCCAAGCTCTCCTCCCTCTCCACGTTGCCTGCACAACCGCGCTGAGAGGCAGCGACAGGCCCAAGTCAGCAGGGGGCTCCACGGACGCAGGGGGGCTGGAGCCTGGATCTCCAGAGTCCCAGTCCGGCGCTCTTAATCCCTGCACTCTGCTGGGTGGTCAAGTCTAATGGAGCCCCAGCAGCCACACCGAGCCTTTGCACCCATTTCTCTGCCTGCTTCCTTCCCTGAAGGAGAAAGAGCTCTCCTCACCCTCAAGAGGCTTGAGTTCCAGGCAAATCCAGAGGCCGCTGCCCGCAGAGCCCAACCTGCTGCCCAGCGCTGCTTGGCGAGGGCACCCAGCGCCCCAGGACCACGAACACAGAGGGGCTCTCCGGCAAGGGCACTGAAGCGGCCGCTCCGGCGACAGCACAGCTGACCGCCCGGACCCTACCGGCAGAAGCTGACGCGAGAGGCACCGGAAGCTGCACTGAGGGCCCCTGGCTGCAGGGGCGGTACTTACGGCTGAGCCCGGAGGCCCGGGGGAGACTGCCCACCCATCCGCTCAGCACAAGGAAGTTAGTAGCAGGGAGTGAGCAGGGGCAGGTCACAGTGCAGCAGAGTCCGCGTGGAAACCGACTCCCACAGAAGCAGAGGCGAAGCAGAACCGTAAGCACACCTGGTGCCCAGTGGCCATTCGGAAGGCTGCCAGAGACAGGAGGGGCTCCTCTGGCACCCGAAGGGCCAACGGCCGCTGCCGTGGAAGTGTTACCTCTGCACAGCCTCCTGGTCGGGCTCCCCATCCGAGCTCTCCTCATCCACAGGGGTCACAGCCGGCACAGCCTGGGGGCAGGAGAGAGGCAGGGCTGGCTCTGCAGAAAGGCTTCCCCACACCCTCTGCCCGCCCCCACCCCGAGCTTCTCACTCCGGCCTCAGGGGATGCCCACAGCCCGTCCGTCCTGCAGCAGCCGAACCAATCCAGGCAGGGCCATGCCCATTCCCCCCAGGAGGGCCCTCTCAGGGCACCTCCAATCCAGAAGGTGCTCCAGAGACACGCTTCTCTGGACTGCTGGCGGGGCCTCCCTGATCAGCTCCTCCGCAGGAAAAGGGGCCCCTCTGGGAGGCGCACATGGGGGGGCAGTGACCACGCCGGCCTTTGCAGAAGAAGGGGAGGGCAGGCTTAGGCCTTGCCTTGAGCGGTCCCGGGCAGTTCCGCCTCATCCTGCCTCCCGCTGAGAGAGCCCACGGCCCCAGGAGAGCAGGCAGAAGCACGATGTCCACCCGCTGCATCCTAGCCCAGCGAGAGCGATGGCGGGCCTCCCTTGGTGCACTCGGCACCTCTCTGGCTCGTCTCTGTCACCGGCCACGAGCCAGCTCAGCCTGGCTGGGGCTGGGCCGGCCACACTGGCGGAAGTGTGACACTGCACAGGGCAACCCGGTCCGGTGCCAGAAAGCCGGACACTTCTGCCGCATTCCTGGTCCAAAGAGGCCTCACCGAACCGCTTTGTACGCCCTGTCCGGGGCCTAGCATTCAAATACACGGCAAAGGGAAAACTGGACTTCCAGGGAGAAGGGAGAGCGCAAACTGGCGGCTGCACGTCACTGCAGGTTGCGCGACTTACTGGCGTCATGGTGACAAGAGGAGAAGGACCCCGGGGACGCTTCAGGAGCTGCTGTGCGTGCAGCTGGATGTTGGCCCCTCCATCCGACGCCCTCCGCCCAAGGGGTCCCATTCCGTTCAGCAGCTGGAGAGTCGGGGGCTGCAGCAAGGACTGCTCCTGCAACAAGACGCTCCGTCTCCACCAGCCCCGCGGCACGCCTCGTGGCCGGGCCGGGCCGGGCCGGGGCCCGAGCGACGTGGAGGGCTGCAACCTCAGAGCACAGGCTCAGCCCCGTCCCGCGGTCAGGCAGCAGAAGCCGGGCCACCGCCACACCACGCAGGCGCCTCCTCCTGACCCGCCTGGGGGCCCGGCAAGCAGGCTCATGGGGCCGTCACGGTGGCAGCACCTCAAGAGCAGAGGAGGGTGCTCAGGGCTCCGGCGGTGAAGCGCCCCCGAGCCTCCCTCAGGGGCCCGAAGGTGCCGCGGGCCAAGACAGACCTCCATTGGCCACGCTCAGCCTCGCCGACCCGCACCGGCAGCACGGTGTGGCTCGGGTCTCGGGTGTCAGGCAGGAGCAGCTCACGGGGAGATGCGTGCAGAGGCCTGGGGTCGAGGGGGGGCCGTCTGCGTGCAAAGCAGGGCCCGGCCTCCGAGCGACGGCTCCTCTCGCCGTACCTTGTACTCCAGCTGGCCCGTCGGCTGCAGGTGCTGCATGGGGAGCATGTTGGCCGCCATGTTCATGTTCGGGGCCACCGGCAGGAACGGGGCCTGCGGTGCGATGCGGGGGAAGCCTGGGAGCAGGTTCTGCAGATCCTCCATCACCTCCGTGCTGCAAAGAGACGCCACTCTCAGAGGCGGCCTGGGCGGTGCCACATCTCTGGGCTGACGCTACCCGAGCCAAACTGCTCAAGGAGTGCGCAAGGTGACGCCACCGTAGCAAGGGCAGATCGCCAAGTGGGGCAACGACCACTGAGCCTGTGGGGCTGGAGGGACGCTTGCCTGGAGGGTCCCGGGGAGATCAGGCAGGCAGCGAAACTTACCGTGGGTCAGCCACCCCAACGGTGTGCCTCCGCATGGAGAGGTAGCGGACCAGCGCCTCCGGGGACGGCTCTTCGCCCTCATCACTGTCCAGGTTCATTGTTCCATCCGTCTAGAGCAGGGGCAGGAAAAGAGGCATGTGGAGAGGCGGCAGGAGCACTCGGGGCAGGAAAGGAGGAGCCTGGGGAACGAGCGCTCACCTCCACTATTTGGTTCTCTGGGTTGATGAGCTGCACTTGTGGGACACTGAGGCTCACCGCGTTGCCTGCCTGCTCCGCCTGCAAAGCAGACAGAAACCACGCTCTACATGCAGGAAGAGCACACGCCTCCTGCTCGGCCGCTGGCAGCAGACACCGCCCTGTCCGGCCCCCCCGGGACCTGTGCCCCCGCCCCGGGGGAAGCGGCACCCTCGGAGGACAGCTGCGGTCATTTGGCGCTTCCAAGGCCAGGCCTGAGGAGGTGCTGGCAGCACCAAACCCCACAGAGGCACTCGAAGGCCGACGCCGGGCTCTCCCCGACCCCGTCCGGTGGGCGCAACGTGTGCTCACTGCTCTGCTTCGCAAGGGCAGAGACGGAGCTGCAAGCCCTTTGTCCGACTCGGGAAGAAGCCAGAGGAAAGGAGCGGAAGTGCCACTCAGCTCAGGCACCACGCAGAAGCGACAGCCGAGACGCTGGGCTGGTGGGCCCTGGAAGGCAGCAAGGCCTCCACAGGCTGGCTGGGGGCCTGCTGGCAAGGGGAGAGGAGGCTGTGCAAAGTGCAGCGCCGCCCCTGCGAGAAGGGCCCGCCCAGTTTCCGGGGAGGAGTGCCGTGTCCGCCCCCTCCCACACCACGCGAGCTGGCCATGGCAGGGGGATGCTCGGGCGGCAGGAGGCAGGGCCCCCGGCTCCAGGCCTGCCCTGCGGCATCAGGCCGGCCCGTCCCAAAGCAGCGGAGCTGCTGTCGCGCAAGGCCAACCTGGATGCTGGCAGGGGCCGGGAAGGCCATGGTCCGCGGGAGGCTGGGCAGTGTGGAAATGCGGAGGTTCTTGTGCCTCTTCAGGCGGTCACAGAGCAGGCTGTAGATTGCGCTGTAGTGATCATAGGCGTCCGTCCGCAGTGACTGGGAGGGCAGGGAAATGAAACAGTCAGTTCTCCCTGTGCCCGAGGCAAGCCGCCCGCCCCACGGCGTGCCCAGGGGCAGGTGTACCTGGAGGGTGCGCTCCTTGTCCAGACCCATCTCAGCCATGGCGAGCAGCACGTCTTCGTTCAGAGGCTCCATCTGCCTCTCAGCCTTCAAGTGCTGGCACTCGGCAATCAGCTAGGATGGGCAGAACCTTGGCGTGACTCCCTCGCGCACAGGAAGGGAAGGCAGGGGTGCCGCCCACCAAGGGTGGCCTGGCCAGGCATCATGCCAACGCCCGGGAGGCTTCCCCGGCAAGGGAGAAACCCGGGCACTGACAGGGCAGCCCCTGTGAAGCGGCGCAGGTGGGCTCAGGGCGCCCGGGAAGCACCCCCCCACGGCCTGCAGTCCCGCGGAGGGACAGAGGCGTCCCACGCACAGGATTACGCAGCGCGAATGAACAGAGGCACCGCATGAACAGATACGCGCAGGACGCCAATGGCCACGTGCCGAATCTGAGTGGTCTCTGCACAGAAACAGAGTCTCTTTGAAAGATGGGTGGCGATGCACGCACCCGCCCAACCTTCCGCCCCAGCCCCGGCCCCGGCCCCGGCCCCATGGCCCACCAGCGTGCTCACCGCGTCGAACTCCGCATCGGCCTCCCCGAGCTTCATCCACTTGTGTTTGCAGATCTGCTCCATGGAAAGCCGCCTGCTCGGCTCCAGCACCAGCATGTGGCGGATCAAGTGCTCACACTCTGCAAGGCGGCGCCAGCAGCAGGCTGAGGAACTGGAGCTGGGGGGCACCGCCAGCCCCACCCCCCCCATGATGGCTGCAGCAGCAGGAGGGGAAGCAGCCCATTCTGGACACGGCTGCAGGGTAAGGAAGCCCCGCACTGTGGCCCTGCTTCTCGGGGGGGCACAGGGCGCAGTCCCCTTCCCCTGCGGCAAGGGCCCTGTGGGCAACCTCCCTCCCTCCTGGAGCAGTGGGGACTCAGGGGAGTGGAGGACGCCGACATGCCAGAACACCCGCTGTCCGTCCGGCCCAGCACAGCCAGCGCCGGCGGGAGGCAACAGCTCCCCGGGGTCCCAGGCAGGAGGTTCTGCTGCTCCCCCAGGCGCCTCTGCAGGGGATCAAGCTGCAGCCCCTGCATGCAAAGCAAGGGCCCTGCCCCTGAGGAGGGCTCTGCTCTGAAAGGTGGCCAACAAATATTTTGAATAAATAGGGGCATCAGAAGCTCTCCACCTCCCTTACTTTACCAGGACGATGCAGACAGTTAAAAGTGTTTAAAGCAAAGATGCCCAGAGACGTGAGCTGCAGACAGGGCTCAACACCTTTACAGAGAAAGGAAAGGATGGACTTGGCCACAACACGAAGAAATTGATCAGGATGGCTTTAAACTGAATTCTGCAGGGGAGGGAGGGAGTTATCTGGACACAAAGGAGTATGTACTGCAGGAGTGAAAGAAAGCAACTCGGTGGGCCTAAGAGGAAGGACAAGATGTCTTCTCTTTCATCCCGAAGTTCAGGACACAGAATAATGGACTTGAAGTTAAAACAAAACCAGACTTAGACTAGGCCCCAGGAACACTTCCTCACTGTCCGAGCAGTACGGAAATTGAACCTATTACGTTACCTGTGGACATGAAAAATGGAATGCGAAACTTTCCGCTCAGCACCCTTGCTCGCAGGTTCTGCAGCGTGCTCCCGTCGAAAGGCAGGGCCCCGCAAACCAGCACGTAGAGCACCACGCCAAGGCTCTGCAAGAGGGGAGACCGCAGATGTCAGGGCACGTTTGGGGAGCACCATGTGCCCTGCACAGAAAGGCCAGCATAGGCAGAGGGCCTCTTCTCAGTATTGTCAGAGGAGTCCCTTCCTAAAATGGGCCAAGAAAAGCTTGTCCTTATGTTATATTTTGGATTGCACTGGTTTATCAAATAAGCACATCCCTTACAGAACAGCTGATAATGTCACTCCCAGCAGAGAGGCAAAACATGGGCCAGGCGCAGGAGGCCTGCAGGGCATACCCAGATGTCCACCTTCGGTCCGTCATACTCCTTCCCTTCGAAAAGCTCCGGGGCAGCGTACGGGGGGCTCCCACACCAGGTCTTCAGCAGCTGGCCAGGTGTGAAGATATTACTGAATCCAAAATCTGGAAAACACGGGAGGAAAGAATGGATGTCGCGGCTGTTCAGCAGCACTGACTCCTTACACAGGCGCCTACTAATTGCTTGGCGTGCTGCATCAGCTGAGCAGCGCAACTCGACCACTGGGGAAGGCTGGCACCAGGCAGACACGCGGCGGCATAAAACCGAGCCCTGTACCCTGGCAGCCGGCGGGCCAGCGGAAGCCATGCCTGCCTAGCCCGTCAGAAGCCGTCTGGAGGCGAGGTGACCAGGACAGTGGTTCTCACATCCCACTGTGGCTGCCCTACACGTCTGTGCAATGGCATGAAGGCACTGGCGGTGGCGGTCGGGGGGGGGGGGGCGTGGGGGTGGAATCCCTTTCCTAATGGCCCCAAACATCAAATGCGCCTTTTTCGCAGCAGGCCTGCAACTGGGGCAACCCGTTATTGCACAACGCACCACAACCCAAGATGCCTTCCCTGCTCAGTCACCACTACACATCTTCGTCTTTATGTGAACTCAGAAGGATTTTGCCCCAACCTGAACGGCATCTGACATTTTAATGCCTATTTTCCCAGCCTGGAGAAAGTCATTTAGAACTGTAGCCCTCCTTTTCAAAGGGCATTTGAAAATTATTAGTTTATTTACTTTATTTACTGTTCCTCTGCAAATAGTGCTCAAGGAAGGTAATGGTTTGGCATCGTCAGCAAAAGTGACTCCCGCCGAGGCACCTGCCCCCTCCAACTGCCACACTTTCCCAGCAGCCACTTTTCAGGGGTACCGAAGGTCGCTTTCCACGTTTCCGGATGCACCTGTGGCCTTGAGGGCTGCCTGCCGCTGGCCGACAGCTACTTGCTTGCTGACATTCTCAAACAACTCTAAAAATTAGGGAGAGGAAACATTTGCAAGAGCCACACTGAAACGGAAAGATACAGAAATGGCTGACCTGCTATTTTGATATTCAGATTTGCATCCAGAAGCAAGTTCTCTGCCTTCAGGTCTCGGTGAACGATGTTACAGCAGTGGCAGAAGTGAACTGCTGCTACGATCTGCTTGAACTTCTTCCGGGCTTCCTTCTCAGCCATGCGCCCATGGGCCACCAGGTGATCTGAGCGGGGAGGGAAGAGGCATAAAGATGGCTACTAGCGCAGCATCAACTCACGCAGGCAGTGCTACACCTGGGCATGTCCAAACCTGCCACACCTGGCGGGCTAAGATTCTAGAACAATGGCGAGAGCTAGATCCATAGCGGGAGAGACCGTTCCTGTTGGGACAGGCCCTGCCTGTTGCTTCTCTCCGAAATGAAGGCTGGAGCAAGGTAACCCGAGCAGCTGTCCCACCTCAGCCCTCGCCAACAACCATCAATCCACCCTGACCAAAGGCCTCAGAATGCTCCTGAGAGATGCCAGGCTGAGCCTCCACTGCGTCTCCCTGGGAAGAGACACCCGAGCGGCCCAGCAACCCCCAGTGGGCTTCCCTGTGCAACCCGGATGTTCCAGTGCACACCACTGTCCTGCAAGCAGCGCTAGCCTGGCCAAGAGGTCAGCTCCCCAGAGCAGAAGAGCCAGAACACAGGCCGCAACATCCCGCAGGTCAAGGGCAGCAGCCCCTCGTTCTCGCCTGGGGGCAGGCGGCGCCTTGCGGAAGGGGAAAGGGTGGCTAACAGGGGGGCCTTGCACTCGTCCCCCATGCACAATTGCACTGACTTGCAAATCCACCCCAGAGTGGGAAGAAGAGGAGAAGCTGAATTTCTTAAGAGTCACACTCTAAATGCAAGAGGCACACATAAAGAGGAAAACACCAACAGTCCATCTGCACATCTGAAGGTGAGCCAAGTGCCGCAGGGTAGGCGATGTTTTGAGCTGTGGGAACATTTGGCACGGAGAACCTGTTGCGGGCATCGCTGCGGAACGGATGCCACCGGAGATGTGCCACTTCCCACGGGCAACTGGCCTGCCCAAGAAGCCGCGGACAACGGTCAGCATGCCTGTTACCCACTCACGGAACAAGAGAGACACTGAACCGATGCTTGTTTAGCAGGGCACAGAGTCCCCCGTTGTCTGGTGGGACACCAGTAAATCAGATGCCAACTTTTACAAAACCCCCCGTAGCTTTGCAAAGGGAGAGTCAAGATTACAGACTGGGAAAGGGAGGCTGTCCAGCTGTCCTCCCAGAAAACCCACCCAAGGCCACACTGTAAGCTGCTGCTTTGGAAGCCCTGGGACCTTGGGCAGGGAAAGCGCTTTGCCCCTTAAGGGGTCTTGCTGAAAGGAGTCTGTGGCAGAGCGCAACCGGGGGGGGGGGGGCCCCAGGGGGGAGGGCCCCCCTGTACAGGATGTTCTGCACTGTTCGGGTCAGCAAAGGATGAGCCACTGCGGTGACTTGCCTGCGGCCACCTCAGGAGGCGCCTGGCTCAGCTGTGGCATTAACCTGGGTTTGGGGTCAATGACCCACCCGGTCTGTGGGTCCAGCAATACACTGGCATGGGTCTTAGCGTGCACAGCTGGATCCTCCTTCCACACAAGTGTGTACAGGATCGCAGCTCCTATCACCTTCAGCGGCTTCACCACTCGTCTTGAATGTGGGCACTTCACAGCATTTCAAAGAGATGAAATTTAATTAGGGAGGGAAAGAAGCTGGACTGCTTGAATCCCCATCAAAACATATTAGAAATGCAACATCAAAGGAAAGGGATTGCCCGTTACATGGAGTGGCGGGAGGCTTTTGATGTGTTTATGTAATTAGAATTTACTGTGAATTGATTGTGTCTGGGTATTTTAATTAGTGGGCACTTTGGCAAAAGAACCACCTGATGGGAAAACTTCAGCTTTATTTTGATTCTCTAAAGCAGACTATTGTCCTTCACTCTATAACTAATATAGCCTATGAAGGGAAGCAGGATGAAACTGCCCAGCCTTCCACTCAGCCTCCTCTGAGAGGGGACCAGAGGCTGCGCTTCAGCAAAGGCTCCTGAAAGAGAAAGCAGGTGCCCAGTTCCTTCTCCGCACTGCACACTCGCATCTCCCCACAACTTCGCTGTTCCCAATGCATTAGAAGGAGCGAGGTAGCAGCCTTGGACAGCGGGGGAGGCCTGCTGATTTCCACCACAACAGGCCCTCCCGGCCTCTTTGGGCACCCTGCAAATGCTCCTCGTGTGACGCGCGCCGGCGGCCTCGGCGGGCAAGTGCTTCCCACGCTCCCTTGGAGAAATCTTCCCTTCTGAAGATCAGGCTCTGTTCTCCCTTCCACACCATCCAGCAGCTGGGAAAAATCAGGCGGCTTTGCCAGGGGCAGCTTGGACCCCGTTTGTCTCCCCTGCATGACTCGAGCCTTGACTCCTGCCCATCCCCATCATCCATCTCTTCAGCTGGACACCGGCACAAGCAAACTTCCCCGTTCCTGGTCCTGCCCTGCAAACTGATCCGTGTCCCCATACTGGAAAACCAGGGTGTGGAACTGGTGCCCTTTCCAGGACAGGACGTCCGCTTCCTAGACTGTGGCCACAACTAGGATTCACCCTAAATGGCCGCTGGCTTTTACTCCATCTGTACAATAAAATAGGGGTGACAACTGGTGGCGACAAGCTAGGACAACATGAGGAGCTTGCATGCTTCAAGACAAATGCCGCCATGCAGCAACCCAACCAAGGGGAGCAAAGCCTTCCTGCAAAGGAGACTGGTAACTGTCTAGGAATGGCAGCGGAGGCGTGTTATACATTCTTCATTATGCCTGAACTGGTGCTGAGTTTCATTTTGATTTAAATAGAACTATTCATTTATTAATGACAAATCATTGGACTATTTCTAAAAGTTCCTGCCTGCTAGTGAAGCTGAACTGCTTGGCAAGATGTTCGAGTGAGAATATTTCTTAGGAGGACAGCAAGTTTCGATAGGGCGGGTGCGCAGGACTATCAGTTCTCCCCTTGCTCAGTCCGCCCCCCCCCCCCGCCACATCTCTCTGCCTGGCTGGACAAGCGGCAGCAGCCGCTCCACTGATTCCACACGCCGCCGCAGCACTCAGCTGCGTCTCCGGTGAGGCACACGACGGCCAGCCCAGGCGCAGGGGGCTTCTCAAGCCAGTCGGAGGATGTGCTCATCTCGCAGGGGGCGCCGTGGAGCACTTCCGCTCAGCCAGAAGCTCAGCGCTGGAGCTGCACCTCTGAGAAAGTGGGAAGCCAGCTCACCTGCGCAGCTGCTGCTCCCACTTAACGGGAAGAGCTCCGTCCCACGCACAGCTGACGTGGAATTTGCAGCGCTGAGCTGCGCTCCACCTCCACTCATCCTGAGGGCCCATCCAGAGCTTCTGGAGACGCCTCAGAACCCCCACGGCAAGCCACACCGCTCACCAGCCACGCAGGACCGAACGAGCCTGCACCGTGTCCGGCGGCTTTCTGTAAGCTTCCCTTCAGCGTGCGGCAGGGCCCGACCGGGGAAGGAAGGAAAAGGGGCACAGCTGAAGCCCGCCTGCGATCGCTCCAGAAGGACCCAGAGCCGCCATCTGCCCTGAAGCAGCTCCGGCCCCCGCCAGTGCTCGCTGTCTCTCCCTGCAACACAGAGCGGCTGCTCCGACAATCACCTGCTTGGACTGGCAGGAGAATGGGCCTCTCGGCACTCCAAGTCTGGGCCAGCAGTGCCCCGCTCCTTCCAAGGCTGATAACCCACAAACTCTGGCCAGCTTACCAACGGAAATTAAAAAGTCACTTTAAGCATGGAATAAATTAAACCTCTTCCCCCCTCCTCCTCTTGCCCCCCCCCCCCGCTGCCAAGTTCCTTTTCGTAGTAGCTGCAATGAAAACAAATGGCAGGCCGTTATTAACACAGCTGCAGCTAAGAGGAAAGCCTCGTGGTGAGATGCTCCCAGCGCAGCCAGCCAGGGACTCCACGAAGACAAATCATCTGTAGGGGGAAGAGACGCTAGGCAGAAGGCACCCAGCCGGCCCAGGGAGCTGCCCGGGGAGACTCCGCTTGGCCCTGAAGCGGTCAAGGAAGACAAAAAAACAGCTTTTTTCAAAATGGGGTTCTGCTTCCCTCTCCTTGCCACCGGAGCGATCAAGAGACTTTTCATTAGAAGATCGCTGCGGTCGTTCTGGCTCTACTTTCCCAGCAGATGAGGGATCTGGCGATGAGACGGAGTAGCAGCTGAAGACAGCTGGGAATGATGGAGACGGGCACCGTGCGGCGGCCGTGTGACTGCAGCGGTGCAAAGGGGGCTTGCTGGCTTCCGGCTAGGCAGCGAGGCCACGAGGTTGGATGGCCTGCTGGTTATCAGCTGCTCCAACAAGCAGAATTTACGACAGCCTGCAGCCCTTCCAAAAGCAAAGAGAAAGTTTCCATCCGCCCTGCACGTAACAGAGCTATTTGGCTAACCCACCAAAGCCTCGCCAAGGAACAGTGGCGGGGCACCCTGACAAATTCTACTCCATGCGTGGGGGAAGAAGGATTTTGCTGCTGTAGAGAAAAGCCTCTCAGGTGCAGTTCATAGAGAAAGCAGCTCACCTCCCCAGCAAAAAGAAACTGGCTGACTAGAGGCCACACTGCCCTCCTTGGAGAGGGTTTGAGGCCAAGTGACAGCCTGCTTATTTAAGCTTTTATATATCATTCATTAGCAAAAGCTCTCAGAATGGTGCACAATAAAACCGTCTCAATATCAAGCAATAGCTTTGATATCAAAAGACATCACTACACTGCAGCCAACAGAATTCAAGGCACAGAAACAATGAATCAATAATTCACAACTATTTCACAACTAATCCAACATGTACCAGGACATTATGCAATATAAAAATCAATAATCAGATTTAGCAAGTGAAATAACGGCAAAATAAAAACGTCTTAACCTGGCGCTGAAATATATACATAAGGTCAGCACCAGCGCACCTCCCTGGGGAGCTGGTTCCATGAACAGGGTACCAAAACTGAGACGGGCTTTCCCCTTGTGGCCACCTTCTTTACAGGTGGCTCCCGGAGGAGGACCTCTGCAGATGATCTTCGGGTCCAAGCGGGTATATATGGGAGGAGAGGTTCCTTTAGATATCCAGGCCCTAAGCAATTTAGGGCTTTATATGTCTCTGCAAGCACCTTAAAGGGGGCCTGGGCGTCAACTGGTAAACAGTGCAGACGGTAAATACTGGGAGGGCTTCTGCTCATCTCTGCCCATCCTTGGCAACAAACGGACTCCCCCATTTGGCACCAACTGAAGTTCTGGACCGTTTTCAAGGGAAGCCCCACGCAGAGCACATTACAGTAGCCTAAGCATGAGGTTACCAGGACATGGATTACCTTTGCTAGGTTCTGCCCATCCAGGCAGGGAGGCAGCTGGTCCATCAAGTGCAGTTGAGAGAAGGTACTCTTGGTCACAGATGCCGCCTGAGAGAGTTCTGGGTTGAGGAGCACCCCAAACCCCACACTCTGTCCTTCAGGGGGAGTGCAACCGCAGCCACCCCCCGCCCCCAAGCAGCTTGCTCAAAAAGGGAATGTTGGCCACCGGCCTCCAGATGTTAGCGTCCCTGGGGGTGGGGGGGCCTTCTTCAGGGGGGCATCCCTTAATGGAGCCAGGACCAGCCCCTCCTTCACAAGCACCAGTGAAGAAAATAAGAATTTCCTGATGACTAAACAACAAGGATCAGTGCTTGGTGTTCTACCAGAGAGACAAAAAAGGGTTGAAAATATAAAATAAACCTCTGCCAAGGTCAGAATTTGTACAGATAAGCCCAAAGGCAGAAGTTTCAATAGCAAATGTCCTCAAAAGACTTGTGGTTCACGATAACCATCTATGAAAGTGACTGAATGCCTTTCTGCTGAGGCATTTTCTGTCACGGAGCACTGCCAAATGCTAATGCATACATTCACCACGCACGATGACCGTGGCAGTGAGTCTCGGCGGAAGATGGGCTCACTCCGTTGCTGGCACTCGCCTACAAGAGTCTTCGCTGTGTAAAATTGCCTGGGGGCGCTGCCTGTCTCTCCCATGGGCAGGCAATGAACAAACGGATTGTCCCCAGCCCCAGGACGCAGGGGCACGTCCCCTCCTTGGCTTCGATGGGCAGCCATGAGGGCAAGGGCTGAGAACGCAAGCCTCTTCGAGCCCTTGTCCACATCATCAGGCCTCGTCGACTGAAACTTACCCATCAAAATAAGACCAGGCGGGGCTCTGGACACCTCCACTAAACATGGAGTCCAACCTGAACCAAGCCTGAGTGACTTTATCCTTGCAGTGCTGTGCCAACGTGTCCCCGCAGGCCCCCGAGGGTTCCACCTGATCCTCATCAGGCCCCATGTGTAAAAGGCCACCAGCCACTCGGAACAGCTCTGCGGGGAGGTGCCAAGGGGAGGCACTGCTGGCAGACACTTCTTCTCCACCTTCGCCACCGTGGAGTAGGCTCAGTAATGAGTTCTTACCCACGCCCGGTTGGTCGCAACAGTAGTCGCAGGGACAAGCACACAGAAGGAAGAAAAACACAAAAGGGAACGGGCTCCAAACAGCCCGCACCCTGGACCCCTGCCCGAGGCCACTGCCCTTGGTGCAAGCTCTTTGAAGGGGGCTTTGGGAATGTGAGGCCCAGCTGAACGCAGGCGTTCTGGCGGACGGGTGACAGCCTCCTTCCTCCCGGGGCTCCGGAGACAAGAGGGGCATCAGGCTGAGACGCTGGAAGGGGAGCAGGCAGGTGGGAAGCGGCAAGTCCCGGTGTGTCGGGCAGGCAACTGGCGGGCAGCCCCGGCATTGCTTCTTGTTCAAACGCTTTCAATTAACTGTTAGCAACAGCTCCCACCCAACCATAAAACCCCTCCTTTGAAACCCGGGAGAGCATCTGGCAGCCCATGTGGGCAATAACGAGCTCGATGGGCCATGGCCTGATTTAGTAGAAGGAAGCTTCCCATGTGCCTCATTAAAATGCGCCATGCTTGAAAACGGTAAGAGCAGGTGTTCCACAGGCAGAGGTGCCTCCTCACCTGAAGAACTTGATCACATACTGCCCTTTTGCGCCTTCTGTACAGATTTGCAGAAATGGTTAATTACCCCATTACTAGAAGCTCTCTTGGGGTGCTAACTGGATTTGAATCTATTTTCCCTCCTCACAAACTGAGATAAATCGGTGATAGCAAAGCTTTGGTGGCTTCCATTAAAGCAGGGTGTATTCCAGAGTCTTGAGCCTTACTTTTCATACCGTTATGTTGGCAATTCTACTCACCCAGCAGTGTTTTATATGCTATACATTCTGTAGTTAGTATGAACAATGGTGCAATTTTAGTGTGACAATTTTATTTATTCTGCTATGTTTTAACTGTTTGCGCCTGATGCAAAGGAATCTCTTCCTCTCCAAATGGAGTCTATGGCTACCTTGACGTTTGTACTTGTGGGTCAATGTACTCATGGGGTCCACCTCTAAAGATGCGACTGTCATTTTAACTTCACCATGGCTGACGCAGCATATAAAGAATGAAATTAACATGCTTACCAAATATTTCCCCTCCACTTGCATATTCTGTCACCAGATAAATCATCCGCTCTGTCTCCATAACCTGGGCAAGAACAGAAAAAAAACCAAACCAAACCTCAATAGATGGGACTGCTCAGGAGAAAAGGAAGCTGCACTAAAGAGACAACTGTTTTACAGCTGCATCTCTGATACACAGAAGCACTTTAAGCAAATTGGAAGTATTCAGTGGTTGCACTCGAGTGTGCACGGCGAGCTGGGGACCATGGCTAGGATCGTCAAACATGGATCCTAGAGAGAAAGAACTTGAGTTTGCAGTGCTAGAAGTGGGCTTTGAAAGATAGCCTTTCCCTGAATAACGGGATCTTGTTCGCTTGCCCTAGATTTCTCAGTTTGTGTGATCAACATGGCTGTAAAGGTTCTTCCACAAACTTCACTAAAAATAACTTCTGGACACTAACGCATCTCTAAAAACATACATACACTTATGAATGTGGTTTTTATTCACATTATAGTCCCTAGAATTGGGACATGAAATTTGAATCTACTGGATGTTTCAACTAGTAAAAAGACTGACCCTGACATTCTGTGTTTTGAAAGATCAGATACTCCAAACAAGGCCTTTTCAAAGTTGTTGATAAGTTCCATTACGGACATACCACAACCCAAACAGTCTCACCAGCAAGGGAGCAGCATTCCCTTGCAGAGGCAAGAAACACCCAAGCAAGTCAAGCATCACCACCGAAGAGATGACTGGACTGGCAGCTTGCTCCGGCCATTCCTTCCATTCCGCTGATGCAAGAAAATTGCAGGGCCCGAGCAAAGGCTTTGCTAGGCATGGGCCCAGAATCTATTTCTAAGCGTCCCGAATGCCGACTCGTGCTGGCCGAAGATTTTTTCTAAGCCTAACTGACACGTTTATTTCCATGGAAGGCTGCAGCCAGGGAGGAAAGATGCAACCATCCTCTCCCAGACGGTGCAACACCACCGGCCCCCACTTCCTTATTCCAATTAAGTTTACTCACCAACAGAAGTTATGTCCCTGACCTTAATTGTCATGGGGGTGTCAATAAGGCAAAGCTGGGGAGGGAAAGATTAACCCTCCCCTCCCTGCATGCTGTGATACCCAAACCTCCCCTGGCTGCTTCCTTTGCTGCCAGACAGAAGCTTCGTACTGAAGCATAATTGCATGGGGGGGGGGG